GTTTCCTGTATTTTGAAGGCATGTAAGTAAGCAAAGAAAGAAAACAGGCTGACACAACCTACACAAAGTGTCCAACGCCCAGCAAAAGTCGTCAAGTCTATACACCCTGGGCAATCTCAAAATCTAGGGAAGCAGAGTTTGTGGGTTACACATTACATTGTAATCCTTGGATATTCACTATGACATCCAAGCAATGGAGAAATGTTATGAAATGTTGCCAATTGCCCTCAAGCCAAATTTGAATTCCCGTGGGAATGAGTCTTGAAGTTGTGACTGTCTCATACTGTTTCAGCTTGCTTTGACTTTGGGACCCCTTGAGCATGCATGCAGGTTGAGTACCTCAAGGAAGTGCATTGCTCTCAGATCAGGAAAGCCATGCTAGTTTGCACTCTAGTAGGCTGCGTACTGGTGAATTCAAAAACCGTTCCCACGCAGCTGAATCATGCAGTGAATTGCTGAGGTTGGGTCGATTTCCCGTAGAAAGCCGAGTTTGCTGTCAGATGATTTGGATGTCAGAGCCGTAAGGGACAAAAGTGCTGAGGAGTCATAGTTCTGAGTGAGATGATGAGGATAGCAAACCATAGAAGGGCCGACTTACACTACAACAGACTCAGAAAGACCACGAAATCATCATGGCTACGAACGATATATTGCAAGAGGATGAAACACCATGAGTCTTCTCTGTGAGGCAAGCGCACTGCCGGAGAGAATTGCAACGAATAGGCCAGTTGGCGTTCGAAAAAGCAGATCAACCAATGATCAACCGATCAACAAATGAACGTATCCTGTTGGGCAGATCAAGATGGTGGGCTATTTGCCCGGACTTGTTGAATTTAGGTTGAATTTTGGTGAGTACAGTTTCACATGATTTCACACCTGTGATTCATATGTCCATCGTATTGAGGGGTTTGCCTCGTTGCGTACCTTTGCAGAAGCACTGCGCATCTCAAGTCGCTTCATCTTCCCTCTCCCTCTCACTTCAAGGCTTGACAAGCTACGGCACCGAGCCTTTGGCACAACACCTGTCCCTACACTCAGAGACACAGAACAGATCGGTTTAGTTCGCTACTCTGTTGGAGAAGATGAATGTGATGAATGCCGTACATGCAAGTGTAGACCACGCAACAGCAAAGCACAATCAGTCGATTTCAAGAGGAATGCGTTCTAGCTGGATCATCAGCTTGACACCCACCCCACTTCACCTTATTTCATCTTATTTCCCCATTCAGACAATTTGACCTTGACTGAGGCCAGCTTGGGCAGCAGCAACATTCAGCAGCTCATCTTTGACAGTACGGTACTCAACCTGTGCATTGGATGCAGAAATGTGTTGGAATATTGATCTACTTTCTGCGTTCTACTCTTCCTTTTGCGGCTCATCCTTCCTTCAATGTTGCGCAAGAACACATCAGATCATGCACAGGCCGAAAGGTGTTAATTCTCGTTAGCGATGTGAGATGTGATACCGTTAATAGCAATTCGGTTCTATGGCTTTGAGCACATCGAGCACAAGTTGTACTGCAGGGAGATGTAAGAGCATATTCTGGGGTCATTTTGTGCATTCACCTCACAGTCTTCCACATAGCCGGATCTGAGTTTGGCACTGGTGATGCTGATGGTGTCCACATCTCAGTGCAAAGAAAGCTCAGAGTATCACGTCAGATGCCACTAGCATTCAGAGAAAGCGTTCGACTTCACAACGGAGCACAAGGGGAAATGTCCTGCTTTCGCCGATGTGACATGGGCCGCATGTCAAAGGCATGAGCAAATACCAGTACCACGTCCAAGGCCCTATCAGCAGTGTACGTGGATCACTCACGGGCTTCTCATGCAGAGAGGCCAACACCCGCGCGATCTCATCCACTATATCCACTGTCAAATACAAACGTCGTGCTACTGTGGACTTCGTAGCGGTTGCAAGATGTTGCGAGTGGACAGATAGCTTCTATTCATCTCATCTCTATTTATGTTTATTCCGTATCTATCCATATCTAGTGTCGATTGAACAGACAGCGACAGAGACCAATTCGGCCTTGGCGTTTGGTGCTTTTTTGCAAGGCAGGTGCTCTTGGCGGTGATAAGGCAGGGACTAACCAGTAAGACTCAGTAAGATTCAAGTTAGAACTTAGATGAACTTAGAACAGTCCTATTTTTCAAGATTCATGTCTTGCAAGTAGCATCCTGTGTAAAAGGGTTGGGTTTCCAGGAATCGTTTGGAATTTAAGCAGAGCACCGCACATGAATCATCATTTATATAATATTATATAATCATCATGCCTCGAAATCTTCAACATCATCCATTCTTAAGCCTTTCATCAATTCCGTCTCCTTTTTGCCAGGGCAGCGACAGTGTCGCAGTGCTGCGTCAAAAATGGTCTCCGTATGTTTCCGTGTAAGTCACACAGTTTTTTGGACAACCGCCTGAAAGAGACGAGTATCTTGCGGGTTTTGTCAGCTGTGATCATTGTGATTGGCCTAGTCAGGTTGGATTATGAGCGAGGAGAACTATTGATCAGAACTGAACTGCCTTTATGATAACCTTTGATCGCTTCAATGGCTCAAGAGCTCCCGGGGTGTTGAGAAAACTCTTTGGCCGAACTGTCAGAGACTTGATTTGAACTTAATTAGCCCAAACTTTATGTTTCCCAGAAATAAAAGCCTAATGTTGTCCACAGTTGTGAAGTTGGCAGTAGGATTCACTCCTCTTCAGAAGCAATTGCTCTTTGATCTCTGAGGCAAGGTTGATGGCTGTGCTGTGCCTTCCAGCCAAAGCCTAAGACTTCTGCCGGAATGATGATATTTTTCAGACACGTTGACAAGTGCTGGAAAATGCAAGCTGGCAGCGAGCCACCCTCCTGGAACCACTGGAACCACTCGCATTTTGGAATCTGCAGGAACTCGTGCGTTATCCGCCACCCGATGAAGAAGTTCAATGTCGGGTGCAGTTCTCAGTGGTTGTCTTGGGGTGATCGGCAGCAGAGGCTGGAAAGTAATTGGTGATTACAGTGATTACCTGAAGCACAAAATACCTTAAAGATCCTTAAAGAGTGGTGAGCAGTGAGCACAAGAGTTGAATGACTAGCCTAGCCATATACCGAAGTTCTCTGAAGTAGAACCCTTTCCATGGTCCCGTAGAAAGCGTTGAGAGACTCTGGGCAAATTCCATGATTGTTTTGTTGCGCTCACTTACACGGCATCGAGGGTGAAAGAGCAGGAAGGGGGATCTCAGTGATCTCAGTCCTTTCTTTGTCTTCTGCAAAGGCGAAGCTGCTGACAGCAGTAGATGAGGCTGCGCAGTTAAAATCCCTTCATGCAACTTATTTGAGACAGCACTTCTCGAAACATGTTCAACTACGTTGGTTCGAGTGATCAGTCCAGACTTGCCTTGCTGATTGCTTAAAACATGTATAGCAAGTTTGAGCTTAATATATGTAGATGAATGCTAGATACAAGATGCAGCAGTACGGAGAGAGAAGGGTTGAAATGTTTGTAGAGTTGCTCAAGAAGTGGAGAAGTTTCCATTGTGCATCCGGAAGGCCCCTGCTAATTGAGGTTAGTAGATGTTGGTAGTATTTTGGCGCGTGAAAGTCCATGTTCAGTTCCAGATGTCCGAGTCGGTAGAGGTTTGTACACCCGTCTGCTCGCAGGTCTCACGAGTTGCCTTGGGCAGAGGTTGTGCCTGGGCGGAAATCGCAAGAGTCTTGTCATGAACGAATGGAAAGTCCATGTCCACAGTTGGCTTGACATAAATCGAAATCGACAGGCAGAGATAGTGGCATTAATCCTCAGACAAACTTAATATGGTTTACCTAATCATACTTTTTGCGATGCCACATGACATCACATGACATGTGCGCATTGTGCAAAAGTCTAAACGTCTTGTAAGACGTGAGGTCGAGCAGAAACCTCTGTGTCCAGGCCTGGTGACTTGTTGGAAGGGAAGGAGTGTGTGTCTGGCTGCAGAAATGCAATCCCTCCGAATGTTATGAAAGTTATGAAAACAGCAGACGTAAAGTAGGGGCCAGAAGTTTATACATACTAGATCGATTTGAACAAAGGCAGACGTACTCTTCAGGAAACACACGAAGGACAGAAGCAATAGCATCAAATACATTCAAATACCAACAATACCATGTCCGTCCAAATCTCTGCGCTGCGCAGGTCACGAAGAGGGGTGAATGCTGGGCCCATCGCCCCAGGATGCTGATGAAGCCATCAAAACAATTGAAAGCGAGCAGGGATCAAGAGCGCCCTTGTCCATTTTGTCCCGGTCAGATACAGTTTGCAAAGTGGTCCAAACGTCCATGTGACTACGCTTTATCAGATCCATGGCGGTTGTAGTTTGTGTGTGTGTGTTGAGACTGGATGTGCAAACTCCAGGTTTTCCACTGCTTAATTTGTTGTGATTTTGGCTGAGATTATTTTCAGTTTGCTTTCTACTCCGTAGAGCATAGGAGTCATACAGTACTGTAGGAGGCACCTTTTATCGACTAGTTGACTAGTTGTGTTTTACTAGCAGTGAGAGTCAAGTGAAGTTCCTGAAGGTTCAGGATCGTCCTTGCAAGAATTATAAGCTGCGTTCACTCTTGAGACTTGAACATAAGAAATGTGAAGCTAATCACTGAGCTATCTAAGCCTAATCTGAGCTATAATACATTGATATTACTTGACTGGCTCCGGACTCATATCATGCAAGGCCAAGCCGTGCATCACTGGAGGATTTCTTAGAAAGCCCACGAAGGCCCGTCACGACTCATTTGAGCCGGATGTTTGCAGTGGTTAGATGATGGGAGGTTGATGGAAGTAGTTTGATTCAAGACTGATTTTTCAAGCCTCGGCATCACTTCGTGTTGTTTAGGGTGTTTTCCTCGCTGATATTGTTTGGGCTCCAGAGAACCCTCCATCCAAACTATGTGACTATGCTATGTTTTTTGTTCTCGTAGACATTTTGAATCATTCTGATCTGACTTGCTATCGAGATCCATTGAGAATGTTCGCACATGTTCGTTCCAAGTCTGGGCGGCCTGGCCGTGTCCTGGCACTCAGATTTCGAAGGGTTTCCTCCACCTTCATCCGGTTTCATCGGGTTTTATCGGGTTTCAAGACATCGAAGTACACAAATGCCTTGCTTGTCCAAGGTCCGTTCTGTGAGGCCTACTCAGCGACAGCCTATAGATGACAACACATCTGTACCGGCAGACGTGCGGAGCCAAGCAGTCTTATTCCATAGCACTTCGCACCAGTCCATTTTTTGGTCGCTTTTGAATCTGAACAAGAGTCAAGATTTTAGATCGATGGATTTCAGCACAGGTCTCTCAATATCATTGACTCCTGCAATTTTGCCTTCGGCCAGCTTGCACATGAATGATCATGAATTATTTTTTCCCCGTTGCCGCGAGCATTCGTCTCTGAAAATGTCTCCGCCAGTTCTGAGTCTCAGGCATTCGCCCCTTCATTCATTGGTTTGTGTGTCATGACGTGTCCATGTTTGGAACTGACTCCATTTGCAAAGCGGGTCACTACTAGAGTAATACAGAATAATATGTTCTAACATATTCTAATATATTCTTATATATTATGTGTTTAAAACAATATCCTCGTGGTGTCCACCATGGGCCCTGCAGTGTCAGCCGCGTTCGCCTGGGTTGCTCCATGTGTGTTGTTGCGCTATGCGAATTAGTGGCTGGGTGTCTTACCACTGGGAATTGCTTCCAGCACATTCTAATGATGAGCAGAATCCATCAGAATCCCACAGCTTGAGAGGGTACTCTTTCCTAAGATTGTGTGGAGATTGTCTGGCTTCATTGTCGCGCTCATTTCACCACTTGTGTAAGACGGCAGATCTGCATTGCTCATTGGATAGCAAGTAAGCACCGAACGCTGGACAATTTGGACGTCTTCAAGTACACCCATGTGTGAAACACGGGATGGCTTCAACTATTTGCAGCCTATATTGATGTAGCTCTTGTTGCTGATGTTGCTGACGAAATTGTCCAGACTTGCCTCTTTCACCATTGCACGATTCACCAGGTCCACCAGAGCATGTTGCAGTTGGCTGATGAGGTAGCTGCCCTGGTGTTGCCCGGTGTTCAAGCAAAAGATGTTTCTTATTTGGTCATGTTTGGTCAGTTTTCCCGTGGGGCCTGGAAAGAGTCAACATGTCCATTCCAAGTCGTAAGACTGGAGACGTGTTTGATCAGTTCGGTTCGTTTGTTCTCCTGCAGATCTCGTGTTCATCTGCTTCCGACAGGCACGAGCGCGGTCCACGCACCGCCGAGCTTTCGCACAGGGCACTGGCGAGCCGTCCAACTCCCAGGTGATTTCGGTGGAACTTCGATTCCTTCATTTACTTTGTAAGACCCCACACACACACACACATTTAATGAGTATATATATATATTATATACATACGCACATTTATGATATAGTATAATTATATATATATATTATATATATACACACAAACACACACACCCCTGAATATGTATGTAATGTAAGGTAAGGGAAGGTAATTCAACGTAACGTAACGGAGCATGACGCAACGTAATAGAAGATGACGTAACATAAGGTACCATAATGTCTTGATTTGTCTTGTATTGTACAATTATTGCATGGCATTGCATTGTGTTGCATTTTATGGAACGCGACCGGGTTAACACCCCCTGTATCCATGTGCGTAAGCTAAAAACACAGTAGATATAGATGCCATGCGAAACGTTGTTTTTGTGGTCATTCATTTTGCCGGTGATGAAGCCTATATAGGATATATGGATATATGATATATGCTTTATGATGCTTTATGGATATGGGTATTGCGGTTCCACGGAGACGAACCATGTTTGAGCAAATCGTGCAAACTTCATTGAGTACTGCGTTTTGCAGTGTATTTTGCTCTTTAGCATGTTTGCATGGGATCGGGCCTTGCCTGGTGGACAATGGGGTCAGCAATCTTTCACCATCTTCATTTGTGTAATCTTAGTCAACTAAAAAACATTAAAAAACCACGGGTGGTAATCCGGTCGCGTATGTACCCATGTATGTTCACATCTTCTTGATATTTCTTGGGGCACTTTGCACTTTGGACAAGCCTTCAGGTATCTAGAGCACACTGATGCGGCAAGCCTTCGCCAAATGCGTGCTGCAGAGGAGCCTGCGATTCTTGAAAGCGTAGACGCGAGGAAGGTTGAGCTTTTCTTTGGATTGCCATGGCTCTATGAATCCGTGGTAGTTATAGGTGCTATACTCTGGACCTTGCCCCTGTCCACTCTCTTTCACTTGTTTTCTGAGTCGCTTGTTCCAGCCTCAAAGTTTGTCTCGCGAAGCTTTCCAGTTCATGGAAGACTTCCAATATCTTCCAATGCCAATGGGCAAAAGGAGGCAAGATCGAAGTCACCAGTGGCTCAAGAGGCTCGGGGAGTCTCAGGAAAAGATTAGAAGATCGTGGGCGGTTCCATATGCTTCGATAAAGCCAAGGGGAAGGAACCTTCGGCATCCTTTCGAACCTTCTGTTTGTGCCTGCCCCACCAACATGTATATGTTTTTTTCCTTTCAAGTCTCCAGATTCTTGACCCTGCGAGTCCTTTCACTTCATTCTTTGTGCATCTTTGGGCTGCACTGACAAATGCAACATCTTTACCAGTCAAGTGGTCCAGACCATTTAATTCCTCTATTCTGCTTGCACTGTCTGTCCCCATCATGGTGTAAGCTAAACAGCACCGAATTGTAACCAAGCTGTTGACTCTACTTGAACAAATTAGATGTTGCTTCAAAAACAGTCCCATAGCAACAAGCTAGGGCTTCAGCTACCTCAGACTACCTCTCAACTCAGAAGTCTTTAATTGGCCAGATATTCGCGGTACTTTTTCATGCTTTTCATTGCTTCTCAGATTCTGTGGGAAATTCGAATTGCGAGGCACCCACGACTTGGCGTCGGTCCTCATGCGCCACAGAGGCCTTGGCATTCGGTTTTTCCGTGGCTCTCCCATGTATTCCTGCGTATTGGTTCGGTATGGTTTGGTCATGTTGGGTCGAAATCCAAACCTCAAGAAAGAAGTCTTTGCAGTGACAAGAGTGAAAAGTCGGTTCGAGCAACCCTCTTCTACTGCTGTCAGCAAACTACAAATTTGACTTCTAGTCAGCAAGTCAAGCTATGCCCCTTGAGGTCCCCTCTACTTAGACAAGCTTAGATCGTTAGATCATGCGCACTCGAGGTCATCGAAAGGGCGTGGTGCACTTCGGAGTCTTCTTCTGTAGTGGTACCCGTCCAGGCATCTTGGTGGTTTACAGTGCAGCAGCTCCAGAGGCCGTCTCACCACTGTCCTCAAATTCATACATATAATATCACATAATCTATCTATCTCTATATATGTATAATATATATATAATTATATATATACATACACACATACATATATCATATATCTATATACATACACTACATACTTCATCCCTTCTTATGGCCGCCTTAGGGCGGATTTTTCCTGTGCCCTCGTCACTTGTGCCGCCTTGGGACCGCAAACTTTTACATGGTGCAATCCTTGTTTCCCCTTTCTTTGAATGGCTTAGATTTTGTCTTTGCTTTTACTATCTATTATTTTTCTTGCCACATTTATATACTCGTTCATTCCCTTCGGTTTCGCTTGGAAACGGATTGTATTTTGTATCTCGCTTGTTTCCCAATTATCTCTACTTGTGTTTCTGTTTGTGGGTCCCTTGGAGTGAGCAAGATTGGGCTGGATGCCTTCGCATTTCGTATGATTTTCAACCTGTGGCCGAATTTGTCCCTTTTTCCATGCCTTCCAACACAATATGTTTTCTCTCTAAACGGTTTCACAATTGTCTGCAGTTGGTTTTGTTTGCCCTTGAAGGTTTATTTTCCATCAATACAGGGTGGCGACAGATGAGAGAGATGATTGTGCTTTCGGGCTTTGTGTTGCCTGTCTCTTGTTCCAGAAGCCAACCTTCAATCTTGGATCAGTGTTTCGGCTGACTGATTGATCTTGCCTGCTCATCTGGTGGTCTGTGTATTTTACCCTGAGCCGTTGGAGGATTCACATCAGAACCAATATGAACCAATGTTTAGAGTAGGATTCCTTCCGATATGATAACCCTTTGAACTTGCCACTTCAGCTCAGTCACCGTTGCTGGCACTGGCACTGCTGCCCACTGCAGTATCATTGCTGAGGTCATTTAAAGCTACTCTCAGTGGCAAGCACCGCAGGACTGATTCACATTCTTGTCACATACTGTACTGATAGATAATTTTGTAGTGATATGTATGATATAATATGTGTATATATACATAGAGAGAGAGAGAGTCATATAGTATCATATAATATAGTGATGGAATTATTTTTACATGCTGCAGGAACAGAGCTCAGGGGACCCAATCTCTTTTTCAGTTCGGAGCTTGCCAGGAGATCTTCCTTGCTGGCTATCACAATGAGATTTGTCAGCACAATCGCATGCTGGACCGGTCGAGCTGAATGACGATCGAGGGTTTGAATGTGCTAAAGGTGATTGAGCCGCTTTCTATTCTCAGACTTTAGTATAGCTCAGATGGAGAACACTGCGGGACTCATGGTTTCAGACGTGATGATTGCATTGTCTCATATGCTTTCCTTTTCGCAAGTGAAACTCTGTGGTTAATACGGTCAATAATCAGAGATTTTCTGGATCTTGTCCTATGTGGATTCATCTTGATTGCGTCCTGCATGCTCAATTCGTTAAGTTGCGGTACTCTGGCAGAGCGCCATGAGCTTGCCGCAGGAGTCAAGAAGCGGTTTGATTCATACTTCTTCCACATTGAGGGTTTCAAGAAGCGCTCTACAAACAAGCGTTCTTTGGATCCACTTCTTCTTTGCTAGGCCTGATGAAATCATTCTGCCATTCTATTTACTTGGCATCCGCATGCCCCAAGAAATCTACTCTAATAAAGGAGAGCCACCACTTGCCACAGCAACATACTTTTGATTACTTTTGATATTGGCTTTCTTGGCCCGAATCTTTGACTTGATCGAAGGAAGTTAGAAGTCAAACTTCCGACAATATGGACAGATGGAAAAGCAGAGGTGGGCAGAGTCAGAGAAGAGAAGAGCAGAAGCGACAAGAGAAAGAGAAAGAGGAAAGAAGATGCAGGTGCGCGAAAAGGTAGCAAAGTCGCGAAACACTGTGTTTTTCCAATGATTTGTGGCTCCGGAGGGTCGAAAAGTAGGCTCGCTAAAGCGGCGGGTGCGGAGCCATGTGGCCAGATGAGAGATGAAAAATTGCACGCAGTTGTGGCGCGAAGCACAATTGCAAGTGAAAAAGCTAAAAACACCTCACGTTCGGACCACTTTTGAAAGCTGCGACTCCGAAAAAGCGCACGCCGTTGTGGCGCGAAGCACATTTCCAAGTCAAAATGTACAAAATACACCACGTTCAGACCACTTTTGGAAGTTGAGATGTCGATAAAAAAATGCATGCCGTTGTGGCACGAAGCACATTTCGAAGTCAAAAGTGTCCAAAACTGACGGGTTCGGAGCACTTTTGGACGTTCGGTGTCGCTTTGCGTGGCTTGTCAAAAGTGAGCAAAACGTGAGGGTTGTGTGGCATTTTCAACTACAACCACTACACTACACTACATTCCACTACAGTACAACTACAACTACACCTACAACTACACTACATTACACTACATCACACTACATTTCACTACAATACACTACTTACACTACTTGCACTACACTCCACTTCACTACAACTACAACTACAACTACAACTACAACTACAACTAATTGCAACTACACTTTATTACACTACAATACACTTATTACACTACAATACACTGATTACACTACACTACGCTACACTCCACTTCACTAAACTAGACTACAATCAATTACACTACACTGCAACTACAACTACGGCTACAACTACATTGCGCTAGACTACATTACAATACACTAGTTACACTTCACTGCACTACACTCCACTTCGCTACACTACACTACAATCAATTACACTACAACTACAACTACAGCCACAACTACAACTATAACTACATTACACTAGACTACATTACACTAAACGAATTACACTACGCTCCACTTCACTACACTACACTCAAGTACACTACACTCCAACTACAGCTGCAACTGCAACTACAACTACAACTACACGACATTACACTACACTCCACTTCACTACACTACACTATACACTACATTCCGCTACACTACACTATACTCAATTACACTACACTACACTACCATAACTACAACTACAACTGCAGCTACACTACATTACACTACACTGCACTACACTAATTACACTACAGTCCACTCCACTTCGCTACACAACACTACACTCAATTACACTACACTAAACTAGACTCGACTAGACTACACTACAACTACAACTACAGCTACAACTACAACTACATTACACTACACTACGCTAATTACACTACACTACACTCCACTCTACTAGACTTCACTGAATTACACTACACTACACTCCACTACACTTCACTCCACTACACTACACTCAATTACACTACACTACATTACGCTGCACTAAACTAACTACAACTACATCTACATCCACATCTACAACGACACTACACGACACTACACCACACTACACCACACCACACCACAAAACACCACACCACACTACACTCCACCACACTACACTAACTACAAGTACAGCTACAACTACAACTACACTACTTTACGCTAGACTACACTAGACTACACTACACTACCCTACATTACATTACACTACACTCATTACACCACCACCAATGCAACTGCAACTACACTACGCTAATTACACTACACCACAACTACAACTCCACTACACTACAACTACAACTACAGCTGCACTACCCCACACTACATCCAGCAGTTGTGGGTGAGGTGACCGACCAGGTGACCACTGCAACCATTGCAACCACTCCCAAAAAACACCTTTCAGTCCATCAGTGGATTCGCTCTGCCATCCCTGATTCACAACAACCAACCTCTCCTATAGTATCATATCTTCGAAACTTCCGCCACCGCCTTGTGCGGCACTACTGGTGTTAAGTCTATGAGACTGTCAAAGTGATCATGATGTTCAAACTTGTGGTTTCTGGCGTAAGGGTTTGCATGTTACAGTCACAGCATTTTTGCTAGGCTCGCATATTGATGGGTTTGTTTCTTGAGGCCATGATTTTACAACAAAACCATCAAGATCCAGGAAGCACTTGATGCTCCAAATGACAGCAGGGTTGAAAGCATGTACATCAGACTCTCGTGAAGTCTTAAAATAAGAAGTAAGAACCTATGACAACGCTACTCAAATCGTTCCGATTTGCCCCCGTCGGGCTGCTGAGACACCACCCTGTGATCTGCCCTTGCTTGGCTGGTGGCCAGCAGGGGTCAGACGAGCCTTTGCTGCAGAAGTGACAGGAATAGACGGAATAGATTGGCATCACGAAGAGTCAAGGATCTCGAAGGATCATGCAAATATATGCAAATATATGCAAATATGAAACGTTATGAAACGTTATGAAACGAATCAAAATGAGGCTGAACCATACTGAACCAACTTATGACCAAATCAATCCTAAATTCATCTAAATTCTAAGCATGGGAAAGGAACGTCTAACTTGTCCACCCGCGTTCCTTTGATTTCCTTTTACAATGTGCAAGACTTTAGCCTCATGAAATGTTGCCTCCCTACGATATGTCTTCTGGAAGGTGACTAGATATTCAGATATTCGTCATTTTTCAGCCATGTGTCCAACGGTCCTGCTCATCCAACACTTTGATTGTATAGTCGTAGTTTGATGTAGTGTAGTTTGTGGTTGATGACATGTCACTGTGACATCATTTGGCTCCGTATATGTTTTGAATTGTCTTGAGACACCCCAAAATTTCAACTGCTAGTCACAAGGGCCGATCACGGGATGTCGCCCGGAGGAATTTCGGGGTAAAGGCTTCGACTTCTTTCCCAGTGGCGAAGCACCGGATCTACAGCAGACTGGAAGAAATATTTGTGCCAGTCCAGCGAACCTGAAGCAATGGCTTTGAACTGCACAAACAACGGAAACTCAAGGAAGTTGGGTCAAAATCACATCCACGCAAGCGAGGACTGCATTCAAAATCATTGTAAAACACGGAAGGTTTGCAGTCTTGCGCCATGGAATCCACCGGAATCCGGAACATGGACAGATGTGCATTTTTGCGCTTGCAATGCCAGCGACTTCAACTGTGAAAACAGTGTGTTCCGCGCACAGTTTGCCAGAATCTGGGCTGGGCCCCATGTGCCAATCATTCTCTGTACAGAGGTGGCTTTGAGCGAATTGTGGTTCCCGTGTTCATCGACGCACCTTTGGCAAAGGGTAGAATGAGTCATGGGTAGTGTTTTTTTTATGTTCTGAATTTGCACACCCTTGTTGAAGAGGTTCTATCAAAAAAACAAGAAAGCAAAGCGGTTTCCAAATTACATTTTATTCTATCTTATTCTATTTTCTTGTATCTTATTGTTTATTGATGTTTCTGTGGGCAGATCTTTTTTAAGGCCAAGCCCAGTTCACGGCCCCAGGACGATTTGAAAACTTTAATATTTGAAGACAAAGGCAATTCGAGGCTTGTGCGGCTGGTGCGAATCGTGCAAATCGACAAGCCCCAGCCGGAGCGAATTGCAGTGTACAGACTGAGTTCCTTGAGGGAGGGCAACGGAGTTGCAGATATTCACAATTCTCACGGTGAGCTTTCAAGTCAGCAAATTATTTGGTTTAGTTTAGTTATTGGACTTCTGTGGATTTCCAAGTATCTTGGATGTCATGCACTTGAGTTCGATTGAATGCAGTCGTACACTTGTGATGCTACCGAAGCAAGGAGACCTGGTGGCCAAACTCAGTCATTTCCTGGACTTTCTCACTCATGCAAAGGAGAAGTCTTTAAGTCCCTGTTTCAAACGTGCACACCTCCTACACAGTCACGTTGCAGGGATTCAAGATTTCCATTTCACTAGGATCATGAGGGATGCCGGAAAGACTTAGCTTAAGATGTTGAATGTGTATGACTGTACGACCGTGTATGTAAAGGCTCCATGAACATCTAAATGTATATCCATGTATATCCAAATACTGTCAAAGCGACTCCGTTTGTTGCTTGAACAGCACACGTTAACCGTCGTTAACTTCAACAGGTTTCGCCGAATCTGTTCAGCAAAGCCGCTCAAGTGTTCAAAATGTTCAAAGCTCGTTTCACGATTTTGTGGCCATCTTTGCTCAGCTTTGCGCCATTCACAGCGCCGCTAGGGAAAGCATCGCTCTTCAAGCTGTGGCTTTGGTGGCTCTTCACCTTTAATGATTTTAATGTTGATTTAAAGACCTTTGCCACCTTTGCCATTTGAACATTTGAAAGATTTGCAACATGAAGCATCATGAGGCCATGTCACTATGGCGCTATGTGAAGCTATTGCAAAGCTTTAGCTTTGGTGCGTTTTTCCTCTTCCACATTTGGAAGCTGCGCACCATGAGTGGCTGATAGCTTGGAGTTTGGAGCATTCACTGGAAATCGTGAAAACACCTCCAAAGGATGACCCCCGGAATTGGAAACCTTCCTGCCTGTGACAAAATACACTGTGCACTGATCCCATTTGGATCCCAGCACAGACCATCACATTAGAAGATTGCGGGCCTTCAAGCACAAGCAGGTCGATTCAGGTTTACTCAGTTTACTCATAGAAAGAAAGAACCAAGTATATCAAGTTGGAGCCTGCAAAATCATTTCCGACATGGTAAAGAGACCATCCTACTTCGAGTCTTTGAAAGACCTTTCCCTTGGCACTTGTAGTCGTCGTAACTGTACGGTCGGTGGCAGGAGGGCAAGGCTTTGGAGCGGGTTTGCAGACCCATGCTCGAGAAACAAGCAAGTTTGTTCACGAAAAAGTGGAGCTCTCAAGCTGGAGTCTGTAAGCAGGGTCACTACAGTAAGAGAACGGGACGGAACAAATTGATGGTTGCCTGCTGATGCGCTCTGCTGATGCCCTGTGCTCGCGTACCGGAGCCAAATGGCTCAAAACGAAACAGGCAAAGCAGAGCCAGTAACACCTGCGAAGGAACACCGAGCATACATTTAGGAGCTGGATGTGTTCCAAACCCGGCCATAATGGCGCAACCTTGCGTGATTCTTTGTGGGGGTTGAGATGAACTTGTTTCATGTGCGTACATATCCAATGGGCTGTGGAAGATTCAACTTATATTATATATATATACTTATATCATGTATCCTGTCACGATGCAATACCAGCTTCATCCAGCGTCCTATCTTGACTTCATGCTGAGTGAATGTTGGCTTCCTGCAGTATGGCAGACATCTCCAAGGCGCAGATTCCATCAGATTCCTGGGTGGAGATTTGAAACTGACGCTGGGTCGCTGATAAAAATCTGGGTAAGATAAAGATGATAAAGGCCAACAGTGGCCAACATGATCAAACTCAACCCTACCTAGTTGTCGAGCCTTCGTGAAAGACTGGGACATAAGGACCAGAGTCACTACTTTGAGGGTGCTGAAACCGAGCTTGGCATTTTGCTCCTTTGTTCTCCTCTTCCTGGACAGGTTATCTTTACGAAGTCATGTTGGACGTCCAAAGATTCCTGGCTTCACTGTCGACATCTGTCGACTAATCAGAAGATTTGTCAAATGGGCTGACTTCAGCAATTTCTTCAGTTGGACGGACAAGGGAAGTCATGAGAACGAGACCGTTGAAGTGTTGAAATCTACTTGTTTTGTTTACAGATGTTACAGGAAGGTTCACCCGGTCTGCAAGTGCTGGTTTCGAGCGTCCTCTCATCATTTTCCTCACGAATATGGCCCTAAAGAACGTGCACTAGAGGAGCAAGCAGTAGCTTTTGGCTGCCGGTTGGAGCATCCTTTGGAAGGACACGGAAGAAATGTGAGTCAATATATGTAGATATGAAATGTCCAGTTTTGGCATGTGACATTGTGTGTGTCAATGAGATATTGATAGATACTAGTATTATGAATTTGTGCGAGTGCCAACTTTGGTTCTCGCCATTTGTCAAGAATTTCTATGTCAACTGTGATTGCTGTTGCTTAGGTGCCAGCGGTCTCAGCAAAGGCTCTGGCACATAGAACTGGCCATTCTGGCTCCAGCATCTGGGAACGAACTATGAACATCTATGAACTATCATAGAATATCATTGAAATTCATTGAATTTCATTAAATATCATTAAATGGCTTGGAATCTATAGAACATGATTTCCGAATCTATAATGCAGCCTTAAACCGAGAATTTTAATGTTTCTCCGTGGTGGCTACGCCAACGCCTTGCTTCTTTTGAAGATGCTTCATTGCAAGGTATGGCTGGGAAAAAATCATTAAATGGCATCATGGAACTTGTGAGCTTACAATCTTTATGAAGGTCGCCTTGCAAGCAGCTCAATGGCCGCTGTCATTGGTGCTGCACCGAATTTTAGGGCCTATTGCTGTAAAGAAGATTCTATTTGAAGCAGGCTACTGTATCGAACTTTATCCGCAGTTTGAAAATCTTTTGATTGTGCAATTGGTGTTTGAAATGATGGACGCTTTTCGAGATGTGAGGTATGGGGAGCTCGTCGCACACTTGGCTTGTGCGCTGCTCGGATCTCCGGCAGGCTTCGCTGCTGGGTGGATGAGTCTCTACGGTTCAAACAGGACAACATCGAGAAACAAAATGGACAACATTACAACATCCCAGAAGATCCTCAAACATGCGAAAAGAATCTGAAAAGCATCCGAAGAGCATCTAGCAACGAAACTGCACACGGACGCACGACTATACCAGCAAAGACCTGCAAATTTGTAGGTCGTCATATGCTCCATGGTCACTGCAGCGTGTGTTGGCATACTTTTTGCTCCATCCTCCAGCAACGAAATGTACAGCACTACAGCAAGACAGAGACCTCCAACCAGTCCTCACAAAAGGATGAACAGGATAAAAGAGAGACCCACTGGGAACCCAAGCACTGAAATTTCTTTGAGGAAGAAGGCACATGCCGTATCTTGCCAGACGTGCTCACAGATTCTTAAGGTTCAACACTACTGCTATGGAGCCTTGCTTAAGACAGGGTGCTGCGAAGCCGGCATCAATCAATTTGATTTTGTTTTCGGGAATTTGAGTAGCATCAAATTTGACTCAAACATCATCATGAATACAATATAGACTAATATGGTTTGGGGTCTATTTTGTCACATCATGTAGCCTTCTTCAAAGCAGCTTTCGGTTTCGTCCTATTTTCGCCCTCACATTTCCAGGGTCCGGCGGCAAGCGGTGCAGCGAGAAACTGTGAGAGTGCGACCGAGCATCAGGCCAACAAACTGTGGCAATCCAAAAGCACAGCCTTTGCAGAGTTGGACGACACGTTTCCCAATGAATCCAGATAATACGTGTCCTGCAAAATTACAATCGAAGCAACACAAAAATCACAAAAATGATGTACTCGTACCAGTAGGATTTACACGATTGAAATCTTCAGTAACAGTAGGACAATTTGGCGTTGCAGGTCTGGCTGCGCTTCTTGGGGCTGCACTTGTCAAAACGATCATTGCCCAGAGGAGTGCATGACTCCACCAGTATCCTCCAAATTGTTGCAATTTATGATTGCATCCTATTGCATCTATGTGCATGTATCATACACAGATATTTACTGTACGTAAGTTCTCGGCCAATGATTGCACGCGAACTCATTCGTCAAGACATCTCACCCCTGCGCATAACTGTCATTTTTTGTTTGCATGAATGATTTTGGGGCTTCAGCAGGATCTCGAGAGCTTGCAGCTTGCCTTATTGGTTTTGTCAACCTGTGGAAATTGGATTGTGTTGGACAGATGTCTTGCAATCCCCCTTCCAAGATGCTTCAAGCACGTGGCATTGAATAGAGGACCAGTTTGTGCCTCTGTAATTGACGGTGTGCAGATTAAAACGGTGTCTTCTTGCCAAGGCGACAGTTGTCGGCTTGGAATCGAAGCCGTGGTCAAGAAGCACCAAAGCTCTTCAAGGCACGATCCAATCAGATCCAGAAGACATGGACCTGGGATGACCTGGGTGAGTTGGTTGCCATTCTGGCCATTCTGGCCATTCTGCATCATTCTGCCATTGGCCGATTGACTCATCCTGGATGTATGATGTATATTGATGTATGGCAATACATGGCAATAGGCCGTGTGCTGTGTGAAATCCGTGCCAAGGGATGCCAGCTCGGGTCGCTTGGGTGCCACAAAAATGCACTGACCAAACGGTGGAAGTCTCTGTGTAAGGAATAGACTTGCTAGGACTTGCTTATCTTGCTTTATCCTGGTACTTTTTGCAAAAAAATTGAGAAGTAGACCAAAAGCCTAAGGATCCTTGAAAGACTCTCTGCGACTGAAACGGACAGATCTCAAAGAAGAAGAACATCTTAACAAATCTCAACAATATGAAGTGGTGCACCCTGGGTTCATGAGAGGCTGCATCGCCAGATGGATATCGCACTCGCAACCGAGCGGCATTCCAGAATCAATACAACAGAAACCAAGATCAAAGCATGAAATCCATTTAAAGATTCCGGTTTCACATGTCATTTCACATGTCATAGTCGAAAGCGAACCCAGCGACAAATCAAACTCTCTGACGAATATTGACAAATTGATACAAATTGATACAAATCATATATATGGACCATATTTTGGTGTGCTTTGACTTCTTCCACTTCGACAGTTCAGAGCCACAGAGCTCAGGTGCGAAACTCGCGGTTGGCCCTACCAAAGACGGAAAGACGGTCGTTGGCCTGTTCCGCAAAGGCTCGAACCATCCACTAGATTTGTACATGGGTATGACTTGAAATTCGTGGCACCAATAGACCGATAGTGTTTGTCATTTTTAATAGCAAACCATCCATTTTTGGGATGATTAACGAGACATGCTTTTTTGTTTGTTTTCTATGGAAGGTCTAAGTCCTTGCAGGCAGAGATAGACTGTCACATGCTCGATAGAGACATTCCAACTGGTGGAGGCACTTTCGAAGTTGCCAGGCGTGCCCCATGATGCCCGGAGCACATGTCCCGTCCAATCTCATGTCACATGTAATCTACATGCATATTATTCATCTTCCAGGAATGCTTCGGTATGCTTCGGTTTCTTTGCTTTGTGCATTGGCAGGTGTCATGGCTGTCGGGCAAATCATCCCTTACTTGCTTCCTGGCACTAGGAGACGTTCGATGCACATTGAATGACCGTTTCTTGATGTTTCTTCCAGGTTTGTTCAACGCATATAGTTTGTGACGCACGATGAAGAAGCAAACCAAGTGTTTTCATGTCAGACTATCACGTTACACTATCTCTCTATTTACCATCTAAGGATGCTGCATTAGCAACTCTGGAGGAAGCCCTCAAGCTGCCAAAGGTCTCGCTAAAACACTGTTGTGAAAGCACAGAGGTATAGGAAATTTACCAGTGAAACTCAGGTGGATCATCAAATAGTTCTGTCAGTGCCACCTAACCTGCTTGTTTACTGGACTGGTTCTAACTAGAAACTGCCCTTGCACATGTCCTCAGAGTCGGGCTTTAGTTTACTATCCTATGCTGAGTAGAAAGTGACCATAAGTGACCTCAAGTTCCTGAAATGTCTCACACATTTCAGAAAAATGTGTGGGAGTCAAAGAATCCTGTCAGGTGCAGCCTTTCGATCACAAAGATCCTGCTTCAACAGAGCCCTCTTTGCGGCATGTGGAGCTCACGCTGGAGGGATCAACTGGTGCCTCGCAAGCACAAGAAGAGTCAAATGAAAGCGAAAGCACAAAATGCAAAAAGTTGTTGCACAAACCACTGGAAGAAGGAAACTCTTGCCAGCGAAGTACAGTTGCAACATGTTGCAGCCATTCTCAGGATGATGTCACATTGCAGGATTTTTTTGGGGACTTCGTATTGCATCATTTTGTAGCCACATGAGGCCGTGTGCAACTTGTTCTCCTCTGGAACGGTCAACGTGGCTCATTTGCTCCCGGCTTGGAAACCCAACAGAATTTGGAATGGCACTGGAAGGCAAAGCGCTACCAGACCTGTGTTGTTCGATTTATCATGCTTTCGCATCTCCAAATCGATTTGCAACTTTGAACACGGTCTCTTTCTGGGTGGAAGCATACTTATATTACTTTACCTTATGGTACATATACCAGAAGTACCGCACAAGGCGGTGGTGGAAGTCTCAGAAATAGGAAACCTATAGGAGAGGTTGGTTGTTGTGAATCACGGATGGCAGAGCGAATCCACTGATGGACCGAAAGGTGGTTGGAGTTGTGTTTTTGGAGTGGTTGCAATCATTGCAGTGGTCACCTCACTCGCAACTCCTGGATGTAGTGTGGTGTAGCGCAGTAGCAGTAGTTGTAGTTGTAGTTGCAGCTGTAGTTGCAGTTGCAGTTGCAGTTGGAGTGCAGTTGTAGTAGTTGTTGCAGTTGTAGTTGTAGTGGCACTTGTAATTGCAGTTGTGTCTATCTGTCTATCTGTCTATCTGCAAGCTTCCACAACGAGAAATTCTGCGAGACTTCTTCAATTTTGGAACTTCATCCAAAACGAAGCAATTCTGCGAGACTTCCTCAATTTTTGAACTTGACAACATCAAAAACGAAGCAATTCTGCGAGACTTTCTTCAAAAATGGAAAGTTGAGTGCAGAGCTGACGGCCTCGTACCAATGCGTTTTGCGATTTTTCCACTCCACCTGTCTAAAGTACTGCGCCTGCCACGAAAAAGTGATGCCAGGTCATAAGAAGTGCTGCACCTGTCACGCAAAATCATCTCAGCAAACCTGGAGATCTGATGCTCCAAAATGCAACCCCTCTCAGGAAATCAGCGCCCGGACCTCCTAACAACTCTGATGAACATGTCTCTTGTAGCGCCTGCCACGGAAAATGCATCTTTGCAGATCCTCTTCAAATGCCCCACGCCTGCCATCGTTTTTGGAAATGCTACAAAACCCCCACGTTTTGCTCACTTTTGGCAAAGTGCACAATCCCTTGCGCCTGCCACCCTCCGGAGCCACAAATCATTGGAAAAACACAGTGTTGCGACTTTCCTACTTTTTCGCACACCTGGATCTTCTTTCTTCTGAAGTTTTCTCTTTTTGAGTTTCTTTCTTCTCTTCTCTTCTCTTCTCTTCCCTTCTCTTCTCCTTCTCTTTCTCTTTCTCTTACTCTTACTCTTACTCTTCCCATCCCTGCTTTTCATCTGTCTATATTGTCGGAAGTTTGACTTCTAAACTTCCTTCGGTTATAATTTAACCATTAAAATACTGTATTGCTTCTTAGCCAAGCACTGAGATTCACAAGTTCTTGGATGAGACGGAAGACTAGAGTGATTTTTCGTTCACCAAGGATGAATTGATTGACAATCTTTGGCCTGTGGATATGCCATCCAGTGATCAATGTCGTCAGCTGAGCCTCTTTCTCACCCTTCACAAAACCAAATAGAAAATAGAAAAGGCGGCAATATGTGGCAATGCAAAGCGACTCTTCATTGCACCTAATACTTATTGTTAACACTAGGAGAAAAAAGAGGTTGAAAATGGCCGACCAAACTGAGGGCATTCAATCTTGGTCCATTGGCGAGCACCAGATCCAAGCCTGGAAAGGGTTTGGCGCTGATCCGATGAAAACAGAGTGGAAATTAGTGGAAACGTGATACGAAATGAATCAAAATGATACAAACACAACGGAAGATTGAGAGAAGCATTGAGTGCGCTTGGACTTGGCCAAGACTGGCCAAGTTTCCCACAAGCTGAGGAGATGCGCTCCAAACGTAAGAATGCTTGGGAACAAAAACGTCCGAAAAGCCGTCGAGGTGCGCGACAATGAAAGATACAGTAGTATATTGCCGTTGTCTCGATTCTTATATTTCTTATTCTGTGTAGCACTGCAGCTTTCCAAAGTTTCCAGTCTTGAGTTGATGCAGAGAGGCCTAAGCAATCCTGAGCATGCTAGGCAAAGTCCAGGCAACGATGATTGAAAAGCTGGACGGTCTGCCATTTGCCTTTGGTGCCAAGAGCTTTCGACAGGCTGGGAGGTTGAAATGGGAGGTTCAACACTTATGCAGACAAGAAAACCATCAGGAAACCCGAGCGATTCAGAACAACCTCCTCATGAAGTGAAGCGAATAGTTGCTAGCTCTTGGGCAGTCTTGGGCTTGCAGCCTTCCTGATACCATAAAGTGGTCGCGAAGGCAAATCTCATCGTCTATGAAGAGATTCTACGAGACATGAAGGTGCAGACTGAAATTCAAAATAATTAGAAGGGCTGTGTCGGTTGTGCATTCATGTTAGTGAGATTTCTGAAGATTCGTAATTGTCTCATCAAAGCGGCATGCCCGCTGAGAAAAAGTAGAAGTCCGCTCTGAGGCACAAAAAAAATGCATAGTGTTGAGTGAAACTGCTCAAGGGTGCTGACATCCTAAGCTTTGCATGTTGAGTAGCTTGCATGACCTTCAGGTTATTTTGAACAAGCTGATTCCAGTGGCCTCCTTGCTGTTTATCTTCACTTCTTGACTGGAGGCACAGCTCAAGATCGCCTTGGGTTCGCTGCAGGCGAAGAGCTGCCAGTTTCCGACCTTGAACTTTTGCTGCTCCACTGCTTTGACTTACTGCAATAGGTAGCACATGTTAGCACAGTCCGTTCACTGCAGCGGTACTGAAAAGTATGCTGATTCAGTACTGATACTGCATCTTTCATTGTTTTAAGTTTTAATCTTATTTTCTATGTTTTTCTGTGTGTCATTCTGTGTGTCTTTCTGTGTGTCTTTCTGTGTGTCTTTCTGCTTCGCTTGGCTGTTGTCCAGGCCAAGCCGCCACTTCGGCTCCTGGAGCTCTGTGGCGGTGTGGGCGTGATTGGTTTGAGCTTGGCACATGCTGTGGCGGAAGCTACCAAAGTGACGCTGCTAAGCACAGTCCCTTGGCATCAACGGGGACGGTGATCGTCCCTAACGCTGTGCTCTGGGCTCCTATGAAAATGGAGTGACCGCTTCACTGTAGCCTCGGTCCTGGATGGAAAGCTGATGCTTATTGTCATCTCCACAGATTTAGCCATGTCTCTTTCACACTCAGAATGACACAGACATTGCATTGAACGTGTGGCAAAAGGATTCAAATCCGGAAAGTGGCGAGCTGTTCAAAGTCAATGCTGCCGCGATCGACCAAGAGTAGCTTGACGTGAATTGAGCCTTGCAGGCTCCAAATATGTCTGGGTTCCAGCACATTACTATAGCAGGTTGCTCAACAGAGAAGAAACGGTGAGTATATTTTAAATGTGTCACGTGGTTTGATGTTTTTCTCATCTACAGTTCGTATCAAGATATTTTGTCAGGTAGCATGTTTTTTGCGACCTCAGGCATTTTCATGCAATTTTAAGATATTTTAAGATATTTTAAGATATTTTAAGATATTTTAAGATATATATGTTTTTAGATACATTGTACCTATATGTATCTACTAAGTTTCTTACGTGTGCATGAAATGCTTTACTTAGGCTTGTGCAAGCAACCTTTAGTGCCCTTTCAGCAGATGCTGCATTGCAACGTGGTGTTTCAGCGTTGGGTGGTCCTGCGGAGGCGTATGCACATTCTGAAGATTTCAGATGGATGTTTCCTGGAAACTCAGATCATCTCAGACATAGACAATGATAGACAATGCATATGACTATATAACTACTATCAAATTCTGATAAATAGACCATGAACATAAATGAATGTGAAGCGGCTGTGAGTTTACTGACAATATCAAATCTTCGGATTTTTTCCGGTTCAGGTCTTAATTTTGGATCCTCCTCGTCGGGGCCTGGCATGTCAAAGCTGGCGCAGTGGTCTACCTGCTGGTCAGGAGGAAGTGGACCGAATTCGCCAAAGCTTCCTGGCCATATTCAGACTACGCTGGAGTGAGCTTCAAATGACCAAAAAGCAGCCTTGCTGGCTATAGAGTCTCTCAATTCTAGTGGTTTCATGTTTTGCAATTTCTTGGTCTTGCGACATTGTGGAAAATATTCACTGCTAGTGGACTTGTCCAAATGAATGTTTTTTTTTTGAAGTGTGCATGTGCCCATGGACCCAGTCGCCCATGTCCAATGATCTTTGTCCGACCGAGTCTTGCCAGTTGTAGGTTCTGTGCGCGTCATAGTCTACATGAGCTGCGGCCCTCGAAGTTTCATGCAGGACGCTGCCATGGTTGTGGAGTCATCTTTGGCTCGTTCCTGCAAACATGTGCAACCCAAATATGGATGTGCCCACATGGTTTTCAGTTTGAGAGCATCTTCAAGATCTTTCAGGATGTGAAGCGGTGAGGACCCTTCCTCCTTTTGTTTTTACTTTAGACAGGGTCCTGACTTTGCATCGGCGCTGCAGGATGCCAATCGGCTCACTGGTCCTGGCACTACTCCAGCATTTGAACTATCCTGGATGCGCTGTTACGACATGTGACCTGAATAGATACTGGGGCTATCTGGGGCTACTGGGGTTGGATGGCTGCACCAAAGCCGGGGAAGGAAAGGGAGACAGATTGACCATGATTGATCGATGCTTGAAATGGCCAGCTGCAGGCACATGTAGTTCTCAAATGTTCTCAATCAAAAGGGAATTCTACAGAATGTGGCGAAGATATTTACACAAAACGCTTCAGGCTCTCCATCGCTTCGCAGGCTTCCAAGTCTTGAATTGAATCGCACTAATATCATCTAATATCTATTGCTATACTCATCTCATGCGATTTTGAAAGTATCAGGGCTCTTGTACTTCAGAGTCTAAACGTTCTCTTAAGTGCTACGATTTGGGCAAGAGTTTTGCGGAGAAGTAGCTTGGGCCAATTTGGGCTGGACATGTGGAGACTTTCAAGGTTTCCCTTCACTGAGCATGTGGAGACTTTGGGCATCTTCCTGCGACAGGCTCGGATTTGGTGTGAGCAGCGTTAGTCGTAGCGGTTTGGACGTCAGTCTTTGATCGTAGCAGTGCTTCATGCATTGGGACTCCTGTGATGGTCCACCGCATCCACGGTTTTTGGATCACTGCTTTGCACTTGCTACCTGAAAGGTACCATTGACATCAATTCATCAATTAACAACACATTGACAACGCAACCTTGTTTGTGCAAGACCATTTGTGACAAGAAGCTGGCATCTGTCACAGGAGGCTGGTGGTGAATGCTTTGCGCCCAAGAAAGAGCTGTCCTGGAAATCCTGGAAAGAGATGCTCGGAGCAGTCTCAACATGCGGTAAGGCCACCAGGTACTTAGATTCTCGCTCCATACATCCTTTGAAGAGAAATCTGGGAATTGAACCCTGTCTTAAGATATATAGTTCTGGTGTGTTGTGGTATTGGCTATTACCAAGCCACCTCGAAATTTTGGAGAAGTTCCACTACGTCACTATGTTCAGTGCACGCCATGCCCGGTTCAAATCGAGGACCAGCTTGTGCAGTGGAAGACCTGTGCGACCAGACACTTGGCTCAAACTTGGTCATTGAATCAAGGAAAGTCCTGCATTTGTAGAGTGATGGGGGCAGAGTGGACAAGAATGGACAAATTGTCAATTGAGAGCTTGGACCAGGACCTTGGTCGATGTTTTTTTTTGCATGTTGGAAGACTAGAAAGACTCGTAAGATGATTTGAGCTGAGGAGCGTGGTCGCTGGCAGTGCCAATTTCTGGTTGGTATTGAGGCAGACCAGGATTTCGGTGTGGTAGGTCGATTACTTGGCCGGCGTGGTGCCAACATGAAGCGCATTGCAGGCAGATTTCAGCTTTCTCCGGTCAGCTGTGTCTAAGCTTCAAAATTTAGGGTGAGCAATTAGATGCATAATTTTGCAGAAGCTGCTGCCAGAAAGCATTGCATCATGTTATCATGGCAAAGTGAAAATGGAGAAGAGATGGAAGGGAGGAAGATGCGTGAAGCAGTGTCGCTAGATGGCAGTGAAATATGTGGTTGAGGAGACACCAATGCCAAGATGCGGCTTCGAGGCCTGACCCTTCCAATTGTTCTTGTTCTTCTTAAGATCTGGGGCAGTTTGACTATGTTTGGTTTGCCCTGGGAAAATCAAAAAAGATTGAAGAAATGTGGCTTTCTGGGTGCACTTGCATGAGCTTCTCAGTTCTGTGACTGATGTGCCCAGCAGAGCAGGTCGTGGCTCAGGCTTCAAAGAAGCAGATCTCGGTGGAAAAGAGTCTTCAGATCCTTTGATGCTTTGCGCTATTGAGCAGCATTGGCGCAGTACGCTTTGACCTTGTCCCTTTGGAGTCTAAGTGTACACTTCACCCACAAATGAGGTACAGAAGACAACAGGGGCATACAGTGGCAATACGTAGCAATGCTGGAATATCTGATTTGATTGAGTTGTTTGCAGCTCGATTTGAGGTGAGTGCCCCAGATGAAGAGGCTTACAGAGACTTGCCAGTACAGTACACGATTGCCACAGAATGATACTGCGATGCTGACCTGAAAGTCTTGCTTTTCTGGTGCAGAAAATGAAAGCAGGGTGAGTTGCAACTTTGGCTCAACTCAATGAATCATTTCTCGAATGATAGCAAATGAAAATGGATGATGAGGAAGAGGGAATGGGAGCGGTGTGTCCAAGTTTGCAGGCATTTGCGTGAATGTTATTTGTATGAATTATGAATGTGTATATGTTGGCGTCGCTGATTATTATGAATATGTTGTATTTATATATAGCATACGGATGTACCATACAGTTGAAGTACAGTAGTGTGACAAGTCACGGGATGGGCTGCATGATAGGAGTGGATGGAGTCAAAGCGAATAGCTCGCAAAATGATGGAAAATGATTCAATATGTTTGAATGATGCCTTTTGCTTACATTTCAACAGAAGAGTAGCACCTTCTAGATTTGTTGCTCAAGGCTTTCTGGGTTAGCTCTTAGTCTGAAGTGGTTTGAGCGGATTGTAGCAGTTGCCTCTTGAAGGTTGTTGTGCAGTTGTTAGTCGGCCAACTTGTCCTGTCCGAACGATGCCTCGCTGGTTACCTTCTATATGTATTTGGATGTGCTTTAGGAATTATTGTTGCATGTTTAGCAGACCCGTAACAGCCACAAAGCTACTGTCTCGGTCCATTTGTAAATCGTTGTCATGCCTTCAGACATGTGTTGCAGCTTTGAAACTATAAAGGGAGCGTTTAAGCCCCAATTCTCCCGAAAGAGTCCAAGCCAGTATGCCTAAGGACAAGCTACGTGTCAGGTTCGCAATTTGATCTTGAAGGTGCTTGTTCCAATATTGTCAGTGGCTAATGCACACTGTCCTGCGAGTCCCCAGAATCAGTTCGGGATCACTCTTTGCCAAGCGTTTTTTTGCTGTCTTATCAAGGGGGTCGGTAGAATATGGTAGAATACTTACTCGGCATGCGACAGTTTATGTGTGGAGGTTGAATTGCCACATTCATCAGGTCTACGAAGCATTTGAGTTTGCTGGTGGAGATCCACCACCCATCCAAGTTCATGAAGGTCCACGAGACTAGCAACATGGAGGAAAAAAGAGCGACGAGGACACTCAGTCTTTGGCTTTGCACTGAGATATTCGGCTAACAACTATCCAGCAAAAGATCCAGTCCCCTTTATAGCGCACTGTCTTCTGGCAATTTGCAGCAACAACGCCAACACCTGTATGAAGACAGGTATAATTTTACTCAGTATCCGACAGAGGGTTCTATCAGTTCAAGATTTGCTCCACGATGCTATTTGGTTCGAAGCTTTATGCACACATGTGTGCACAAGAATCATGAGCAATGAGCAGTAAAGGACTGCATTTGGACACTGCCAAAAAAGTAACTCCATCCGAATTGAGGGAGCTGCAGTTCATTGACTCCAGCCTTCAATTGATCTATACGACAGCGGATAGATCTTTCAGCAAGCCACTACGCTAGTGAGCTCACGTTGTGCTGTTGATCACTGTGGTTGCTTCCAGCCATCATGGCGGAGCTTCAAGGGCAACTGGGCATGAGGGGCCGAATTCAATCTTGTCAAGGGTCACGAGATATATTCGAACCAAATTCTGACTGTTTGTTAAGTCCGTTGGATTTTGCATTTCTTTATTTTAAGATCTTTAAGTTAAAAACTCTAAGCACCTTTGAAATGCGGCGGCAAATTTCGACTTTTCAACCACGAAGACTGCCAGCGATGATTATGTTGGTGTAAGGCCTGAGCATGTTCAGCTGCTTCCAGATGAGGCTCTGATCAGAATAAATCACATGTGGATATGTTGAGTGCACATATATATATATATATATATTCAGATTGTTTAGTAACATTTCTGCGCAATTGGAATTTTGCAGTTGCCCAAAGTTTGCCAGCACAGGCAGTTGAAGCCCCCGAGCAAGAGGCAATGAGAGAAGGCGGATTGCAAGAGTCCCCAAAAGCACAAGCAAAATCCGCAGAGAAATCTCTGAGCTCAACAGCACCAGTGTCACTTGCGTCCACAGCCACTACTGTATGGCATCTTCATGCGTCTTCGCGTGTCCTCAGGCGCATTTTTGTCAGAAGCGAACACCTGCAGCTCCTCAGCGCAAGAATTTAGAACTTAGCATCGTCCTCCAAAATCTCCAAAGCTTTTCGCTCGCAGTCCATTCAAAGTCAGGCTGTACTGTGAGCGAGGTGCCTTAGCCGCAATTCTAAGAGTGTCTGCAGAGACTCTCCAGACCATGTTGCAGCAATTCGTGAAAGACTATTCATTGAGATTTGTGCAATATGCTGGAATGAAAGGACTGCACCTCTCTGTTACTCTTAGTGTTGTCTCTTTACACTAGACTTGTAGTTTTTTTGGTCAAAACACTTTAAATATGCAATTTCTTTAAATCAGATTCCAAGTGTACTGTCATGTACTGTCTATATATATTCCAAGCGCTTCTGTTCTAACAAAAAAAGAATCTATAATATGTGTTCAACATTGTTTGTTTTCCTTGATAAAGGCCAGCAAAACTATGGAAGTCTTTCGGCAAGATATAATATATATATATACTTATGACAGTCGCTTTTCATGATGTTGTTGTTGAAATAATCATCAGTGTTTGGGTGAAGTTTGCTGGATCAACATGGCATTTTTTTCTGGGGAAGGCTTTCGAAGCCGTGGCTTCTTGGACGCTGGCGGTTTTGATGGCTTTGATCATCATACCTTTGGGACTCCCTGCAGCGATCATTGTCTCTTGGTCGAGTTGGGGTGGAGCATCATCATCTGCGAAATGGTGGCATAGTCAGTTGGCCAAGGGGCAACTGGAAGAGGATGAGGAGGATGATGATGTTGATGTACTGATGCTGTACTGATGATGTACAGATGACAAGGGATACAACAATGTTACATGAGGCAACCTCCTTTTGCACATTTGCTTTGTCCTAAACAGGCATTGCTTTCACTGAATCCCCAGAGAATAGTAACGATTTGCTGTTGGACAGCTGATAAAAGCTGGGTTGAGAGATGGTCAGAATGCTGAAAGGAAACACAGTCTTTGTGCGGCTTTTGCGTTGCAGGTGATCACCCTGGCCAGCATGGGCCAAGTCTACCGAGCCTGTTCGTATCTGAGACCGCCGTCAAAGTTTCGGGAGTCACTCAGGGTCCAGTATTTCATGGGATAGCTTGCATAAGGTGGTGGTTCTCAGAAGGACTGGTCTCTATTTGTTGTCGGTGCTGACGCTCGGCAGAGCTCATGAGGATTTTTGTGCTGATTGTTTGGGTCCATTGCAGCACTTTGGATTCACATAATGCAGCATCCTCATGGCCCGCTGTTTCTGCCCTCGTGTATCTTTCATCGTGTAGTCGATGCTGCTTTGGTGTGCTCAAGGACAAGCCCGCTGATGTATCAGAAGAGTGCAACAGAGAGGCAAGTCAAGGAGTGTTAACCATGGAGAACGCGAGCTTTGATGTGTGTGCATGCTTTGGTTGGTGCAAAGGCTTAGCTTGATGAAGGACAGAAAAAGTGAAAGTGCATGAAAACTAATGCGATGCAGTTCAAAATGGAATACAACTATACACATAGTTCAACTATCTTAAACTGGACAGAGCAAAGTGTTGTATCTTGTATCGCATGGTGCTGTGCGCATGGCTTATGTCCTCTTGAAAGGTTGCTGGGAAATCGGAAGCGATACGGGGCAAAGGGGCATGGTCGAATTTGGTGCCTGGTTGTGAAGGATCACATGAAGTCGTTTTGTCAAATTAGGATTCTAATGATTCTGATGGTGCACTTTACGCCAGAGGATTTGACAACATAGCCCTAATTCGGCCACGGCCGCTGAGGTGTACCACGTGCAGAACAATCACCCGGTCTTCGGCTTGTTTTGCTGCGCTCGTGGCCATCCGTGAGCCGGCATGATTTCAAGAACAGCTTTTCCTGCAGACTGTTGAAACATTAGGAGCTTGACCTGCAACACGCATCAACACGCCCTGAATCTGCTATGATTTTGCAATATTTTGAACCAGTCTTGTCACATACTGTCACATTGTCCAGGTTCAGCCCTGTAGAGCGCTTTGGACTTCTCATTCTGTTGGCCAGTGCGATTCCTGGACTTGCTACGAGATTTTGGCAGTGGCAGTGACAATAAAAAAGTTGTTCCTACCAAAGTAAAAAGCTGAGTGAGAGCTTGTCCATTGACAAAGTTGAAGTTCACCTGTTGAACTGTCGGTGGTTGAGCCACCTGTTGGGACTGCAAAGCTCAGGCTTCAGCTATTTCATGGCAGGAATCAAGATGTGCGACTCGCACTGCAAGTGCCATTCTCCATGAGAAACCAATAGAAAGACGGTGATGCACTGCCGGACCCAAACGCAGAGATGTGAATTTCGGCTGAATCCTCCAATGTGTCCTTCGATGTATCCCATATTGTGAACATGGACTACAAAAGGCTACTCGAGTGACAGAGAGCTCGGCTGGCTATTGAAGCGTGGCAAACTCAGTACGAATTTCAGAAGCTCAGAACCCAGATCAGTTTGGTGACATTGTGCAGATCAACGTTTTCTTGTCGACGGTTTTCTGACAGCCCAAGGTTATTCGGTGGCTTGCATTGCTTTGCCCAGCCTCCTGTTGGAAAGTCTTCTGAAATACTTCGCACTACTTAATTACAAGCATCTTGGCATGACTGCTGCACCAATGGAAACGTGAAAATCAATTCAACAGCGGCTTCAAACACCGTACTGGTATACAAAATATACAAAGATGTTTGCTGTGAATGTGAATGCCTATGTCCTATGTGCTTGTGTCGTAGTCGTAGTGTATGAAGTATTGTGTCATCTCCTCAACGACCGTAGCTTTTAAAGCAAGTAGAGATTCACTGCTCAACATTAGCTGTGTGATGCTACGTCGTATCTACTACGTGCCATCTCAATTAGTGAAGTTCAGCTCCAAACCCGTCAGTGTATGAACCATGCATGATTAGTCACCCACCAGTCATGCAGTGGTCTGTGGGAAATACACTAAGGTACATGCTCAACAAATATGATCCTGTGTTGCATTGAGTGTGCAAGTTGAGAGTGGAGAAAAACAGAACAAAATCAACAGGCCTAGCAACTAGCAGCTACATTGTAATAGAATCCTTTTTTCGAATTGGATTCAATGGATTGTCCGCACTATCTCACTCCTTCTGCTAGTGTGGTTTGACAAGAAATACATCCTTTGGCACTGTCCCTCCACCTTACTGCATGAGATTGTATCCGAAAGTGTTTCCAAGGAAACACATTCAGAGTCATGTTTTGGCCGGTAAGGACTACTTCAGGAAAACGCGCGCCTCGGCAAATGACAAAGTGTTGCTAAAGTTGTGTTCCTTTCTTCTCCAGGGAAGTATGGAAGAGGAGCTTGTGGTGAGTCCCAAAAAATGATGAATGAGACCAAGGGGCAACGAAGCCAACCCATGAGATGATTTGTAGGGCGTTACGTGAGCAGTATTTCTTAGTTTGCTTCTCTGATCACGGATACGGTTTGAGCTTGCCCTGGCACCATCTATGCGGGCTTGAAATGACAACCTGAGAAAGATCATTCTCTCATTGGAGAGTTTCAATCATTCTGGGACTCAAGGATTGGAGCGCTGCAACGCTTTCGCGAAGCAGTTTCTTCGAGCCAAGTAGGGCTGATTTCCCCCAAGCTGCAAGACAGGGCAGAAGATGAAGCAAGCCAAGCTGGGCTGCGAGCAAATGTGCTCTTAAATGTTATATGTCAATGGATGTTGCTGTCCAACATACGGCACTCGCCTTGGGCTACAACGTATCACAGAAGTCTAGAGTAGGCAGGCTACTCAAAAACTAGGAATTCGCAAAATAATCCACACCTTTTGCAACTTTTCTGGCCATTTCAGCGCCAAAGACTTGTTTGGTCACAGAAAAATATTTGGATCATAGAGAACCACGTTATCATACGTTATCCTGCATGGACGCATTGTTGTATTATGTGTGTGGCCCCTTTTCTCTCATTGTGTGTTAACCTTTGAGCGCACAAGGTTTTGCATCGACCATTCACTGGGACAGCCAGAGCCCCCAAGAGAGCCTCGAGCAGGCGCTGACTTTGTGCCTCCTCGCCAGGCAATACTAACCCTAACATACCCCAGCAGATTTCCTTTGCTGGCTACTGGCAGCCACTAGTAGCTAGCAGCTAGCAAGTTCATGCAGATTCATGCAGATCCCTCAAAGGTTTGTCCAAAATGATTTCTGTGTTTGTCCAAAAAGGCTGAGGGTCTCAGGTTGTCTCAGGAGTAATTCGTTATGATTCTTGAGCATTTCGAGCATTTCCGTTGAAAGGAGGCAGACGTGGTGCCTTGGCCCAGTGCCCAATTTCACAGACATTGGCACACTTGGAAGATGCAGGCTTGCAAACATCAAAAGATCCTTGTTTCTATGCACACAAAAACGAAACTTGTGAATCGCCAAGGGTTTTTTTGCAGTCCGAGGTTCGTTACATTCTCTTCTGGATTGTGATTGCTGCAAAGCTTGCTGTGAATTTCTCAAGTTTTGCGAGACATGTCACAACCAATGTGGCTTGGCGAAACTTCGGCGATTTGGAGCTGTCTCAACAAAAGCAGATTGTATGATGTTGTATGGTTTGCTTCCTTATCGATTTTTTCGTGTAGTTTGCATGGTGCTTGCAGAGATTGAGCAGTTGGGCCTTGTCTTGCACAATCCTTTGCTACAGGCGCAAGGGCTTTTGCGTCAAAGGTCCTAAATCCCAAGATATCCCAAGTCTGCAGATTTGCATTGCAGATACCATGAGATGAGGTGAAGATGGTAAGACTCAAGCCGTGAACTCCATTTTTGCATCTCTTTTTGCTGGGATTGCGCTGACGGGTTCTTGCTTGTCTCTTGTCAAAATGTAGCAATGGTGAGTGCAGGGTGGCTCACCAAAGCATGTACCAAAACATAAAAATCAAATAGAATTGCAGCTGTGGTCAAAACAGTGCCCAGAAAGGGAAATTATGTGGCGGAAGTGTTTGCCCGAAAAGGGATTTCTTGGCTTGCTGACTTTGCCCAAGGTTTATTTTCTTTGGCATCAGAATGGATGTCGAAACTTGCCCTGCAACGAGAATGAAATGAATTGAGTCCAGGTTTTACAGTGAATAAACTTCTTTGGTGTTTCGAATAGAGTCAGACAACTGCCTCCGCTTGCCACTGGAAGGAGTCTTCAGAAGATATTTGGCGGGCCTTTGGCATCGGTTCGATTGCCAACTTCTTCGGAATCTGGTTCGTTATTGCCATTGGAAAGTTCCTGGTGACTCGGCACAACGGCAAACATGGAAACATGGAAACCCAAACGGGTCTTTGAGGATAAAATAGGTGGTGTTCCCCCTTGGAGCTTAGAAACAAACCTGGCCCTATAAGTCCTTTAGTGATACGTGAGGATACACTTAGATTTCCTTCAATTGGCAACACACATATACAAATATTTACAAACATTTTGCCATCGATGAAAAACACAAATCTTTACTGAGGTGAAGTGGCAGTATCAACACTGGCATGGTCGATGCTTTGTTCTTTGCCAGATGACCATCCCTCCAGAACCAGAGCCATGGACGGAGCTGAGATACTTTTTCTCCACTGCAGACGTTGATCAGGATGGCTTCTTCAGCAAAGCAGATGCAGCTGGGCATAACCGGCATAACTAACAAGAGCGTTGCGACATGAAACCGGGATCACAAAGGCTGTTTTGTTTGTTTCCTGTGGGAGCCAGTGTATCTAACATGATCTTTGTATGCCCAAATACAAGCTGTGTGGTACGTCTAGCTGCAAAAGAATTGGCTGGGACTCAAGGTTTCGAATTTCCAAACGATATTGAATGATTGATAGCAAGTTCTGCAGAACACGCAACGCTCATCAAGGCTCTGTCTCTTTTCGGTACTGATTGCTGGTCGCTTGAGGCCAAACACATGGTGAGGCGACACTTGGGAGAGGACGTGGCAAAGCACTTAGGGAGACCAGAGCTGTGCACAAAACCAGAAGACTTTGCCAAAAGAAGCATAAGATATCATCAGACAATACGTGTATATCCCATTAGCCATGAAATTATGTAGAAAACAAATGAAAAGAAACGAGGAACACTTGATCGGCCCTTTGCATGTACTTGGTATACAGCTTGAAGGATCTCTCGGACGAGGGATGGCAAAAGCTTCTGGATGAGTTGGATGTGGACAATGACGGGAAGATCTCCCTCTTGGAGTTTGAAGTGCTTAGGACGCTTGATTCAGATTGAGTACGGCTTCAGTATGGCCAGGTGGAGTAGAACAGCGCGAATTTTAGTGTATCCTGAAGTACTCGTAGAAGAGTCTGTCCGGCACAGATTGCCCTATCCGATATGATATGTACATGCAAATTATATATATTTAAATAAATATATAGTTGTATATACATTGACATGATAGATCAAGTTGTCCTGGGAAGCATGGAAGCAAGCGACGAAAACTGGGTCTTCAAGCCACTTAAATGAAGGACGCGTGCTTAGCCTTCAAATGTCACTGCAAATTCAGCATGTCCCAGCTCCTGATGGTTGTATTTCTTTCAGGTGTTTCCCTTTCAAAAGGGTGAAAAGTCGAAAAGATGATATAGTCTTGGAATGTCTTGGACAGCTCTCTACTTCTAGGGGTACAAATGTTTGCGCATAGAACACATACTGTACAGAGTACATCCTTGCATTGCTCGGGCAAAGCACACAACTGGTAGATATATTTATGTGTAGCATTACAGAAAATACATTAATTTATGCATACATGCATGCATGCCTACCTATGGACCTATAGACCTACAGACCTACAGACAGACAGACAGCCAGCCAGCCAGGCAGGCACATACATACAGAGTTACATAGTCTGTATACATTGCATATTGACAAGTGTTTCGTCCTGGACCCCTGCAGGATCTCAAGACGAAGAGCTTTTATTACATTATTGCATATTTGTTGACAATGCATCGTGTAACATGTGGGAGAGTATAATAACCCGGCACCTATTCGTTTAGTATGCCATGATCCCCCATTAGCTATATGTAGTTTTCACTCGAGAAAACGATAAGAGGAAAAAAAAACGAGAACGATGCTCATACATATACATTATATATTGTTTATGGGACATGTTTGAAGCAGCAAGCTTTGCAGATGCAAACTTTTCCCCGAAAAACAGATGTGAAGCTGGTGGTTGTAAGGTGATATCCCACAAAGAAAACACAATATAAATTGTTTCATGAGGGTGTGAAGCCAGCACTTGGAAAAACGATAAGAGGAAAAAAAACGATAACGCGTGGAAACACCATTTGATTGATGCAGAGCAATTTGCCTTTTGCAATGGGACCAAAGCTTGCAGCATTTCTTCGGCGCCATTTTCACAAGCATCCTGGCATCCTCACTTTGGTGGCCACCGTTTCGGTTACCTTTCGACCCTTTGTCATCCTTTGTCGCAGGCTTGGTATCCTTCGCTAAACAGGCTTCTAAAACCTGAGACGGACATTCTTCTCCTAGAGGTTCTTCTTGGGTGCTGCAGATGCATCCGGAGATGTTGGCAACACAAGCGTTGCCACTCTCTTGTCTTTCTTTTCTTGCTGGTGCAAAAAGCTCACAACTGTTCCATCCAGTTTAGGCAGCACGGCGATTGCATCGCTCCATTGCCCTATTTCTTTGCTTGTCTCTAGACGAGCCAGCCTTATTTGTTGGAAAGGCTTTATCCTTCCGTTTCGATATGGTATTTCAGGGTCTCTTAGCGTCCATTTTATCGCCTGTCCTCTCTCTGACCTCCCCTCTTGGCAGCGAACTTGCACACCACTACAGAGAGAGAGAGAGGCATTTTGAGTCTATTGTGTGTTGCTCTGCTTTTTTATTAGTACTCTTCCTTAGTTCACTAATGCAGCCAATCTATTGATTGCACGGCATGACACAAATTCAGGAAAGCAAGAAGCTGTAGCATGCCTCCAGCACACGAGGTACTTCTTGACATAATCTATGTTGTTGGTACTGTACAAATCCAGCGTCTCATCAGGGCTCCTGCCTTGGTGAAATGTACACGGAGATTTGCCGCTCAGCAGGAGCTTCCACAACTTTGTACAGCATGAGGTCGAGCTGTTTGGCTCTGACAATCAAAGGATCTGTACGTTTCGACATGAATCGTCCAACCTGCCCGCAAAGATCCAGCGTTGCAAATTCTCAGGGGCTACTTGCCCCGTTTGCCAGGCTGAAAAAGAAAATGTTGAACCATTTTTGACACTGGACAAGTCTTTGGAATAAGGAAGAGGGTCGGGACAATGCTTTTTTGCGCCAATATCATCTGTGCATTTATCACCCATCTACCCAATACGTGAGATGCAGGTGCTCGTTGAACAAGTATTGTTTTCAGTCTTAACTCCTAACTGGTCCTAACTCCATGTGAGCCTGAGACATAGCGAGGACTGACTTCGCAAACAAGATGAATTGGTGGCTTCCAGAGCGACCAGAACGCCCTTACGAATCTCTACAAAGATCCAGTTTGAGCTGAGAAAGGTTTGCAAGTGTCTAGTATTGAAAAATTAGTTTAAGTACAACTGACCCGTGAAACATCGTACTGGAAATACTTTCTGCATCATGCCATGTACAGCTGGATCATGTACAGGCCATCCAGGCACACTGCAGAGAAAAGGTGCAAGGCCGCAGATTTAGCTTCAACAAGATCCAATCCAAAGTTTTACTTTTTAATGTGGTTCTATTGTGTACGATTATCATCGAAGGATTTTACTGCAATGAGAAGTACAACCCACTATATATATATAGATATACATTATATATAGATAAATAGATAGATAGATTAGATTTGATTAAATTAGATATATAGATATAGATAGATAGAGATAGAGATAGATAGATAGATAGATAAATAAGATAGATAGATAGATAGATGGATAGATAGATGGATAGACAGACAGACAGATAGATAGATAGATAGATATGTATATATATAATGTGTGTATTTGTGCACATGCATGTCCAACTAACAAAAAATGCTATTGTACATTAATTTCTTGATGTGGGCCATGTTTTTCTTCGGGTCACTTAGACATCTATTTGGATTGCGTCGAGTCGATCTTGCAACAATGGAACTTTGAACAGCAGCAACAAGGAGGAAGCAAACATGTCGTGTTTGGATGGCCCATCCTCACTTGACTCGCATTAGTGGCTCCAGCAGTTCTCAGATGCCTTGAAGCATCGTTACAAATACGGTCACCAAAAAAAGAATATTCTGCTTATTTCTCTGCACTTGACACAGATTCATGCAGAATAGAGAGAGAAGGGAGGAAACCAATTTGAAGATTGATCTGATAGAAGCACATAGATGCAGATAGTGTTCAAACATGTTCAAACGAAAGAGATCGCTTCACAAAATGGTTGATCACCGCAGGCCTCCAGATCAGATCTTTGTATCGTTGCAGGTTATTGAATTTTTGCAGCCAGGCAAGAATGACAATCACACTTTCAATGCCATGCAGGTTTCTTTCTTTCTTCCCTGCATGCTTGCTTTGCTGGGCTCTCAGATTGATGCTTTGGTTCACAGACAGAGAGCCAGACTGTTGATTTGTTGCGTGGAGTGGCACCCCAGGCCACATAGGGTGATGCGGTAGTCTAGGCCCTTCTGTGTTCGGGGTTTCTAATCCTTAGATTGATGGGACCCCCAGGAACATGATGGTTGGTCATGTGCTTGCATGATTTATGTCCAGCTTTGCTGATGATTGTGTGGTTCCTACTGTATTGGTTAGGACCACTTGGTTTTTGACAGGTGTTGCTGTTGTTTCCCCCACCCACTCGCACCTTTTTTATGTGCAAGGGCCAGAGTAGAAATCTGGTGTTGTTCCATCCATTGCGAGTCACAAAAGAAAGGGGTTCGGTGTGAGCAGGGTGATGCCGGTTTGGGCTTAACTAAGGGTTACCTTTGGTTGGGATCCCTTTGTTGGCATTGATGTGGTTGCTCGTTTCAAAATAGGCTTTAGCCATCAGTGCTCCGTTGCATTGCCGAGAGCTGTGGCACATGGTATTGTGTTTGATTCGGTTTGTTTTCCTTGTGAGCCGCCGACGGTAGAATCACGATTGCAATACCCAATCAGTAGATGACTTTCTTTACTAGCGAATATTTGATCGAGTTGATGTTGGAAGAAGCAGTCCGGTACTCGTACCTGCAAAGCAAAATGCTGAGAGATGCCGAGAGCAAGTTTCTACAAGTCCTTCTTTGGCAAGTGCCCCTTGTGACACTCAGGCCAAGTTCCTGCTGAGGCTTGACATGAAGTTGAATTCATGCATTTGTCCAGACCAATATTGAAGAAGCGTTTGCAAGGTCACTGATTGCATATTGTACTTACCGATGCTGTCCAAATTGCCAAAGGAAATAAATTTGGGGTTGTAGTACACGTCGAGCAACAAAACTCACCAAGTTCCGATATATTTTAAGTACAATCCTTGTTAACAATTGTCAACATTTGTCAACATTGTCGAACAGTTCTTGCAGCTGGCGTAGTTCTCATGCGTTTGCGGGCTGCAGCAAGCATCGACAAGCTGCACTTGTGCAAGGCAACGGCAGCAGTGGATTTTCTTTGGCCGATTCATGTCAGCAAAGTTCCACTCTCCACACAAGCTGTGACCTTCTCAGCATTGCTCAGCAGTGTGGCAAGTAGCTTCAAGCAGTCTTGATGGCGACAAGAAGAGGCGACAACGACACATGCATCTAAGAACCAGTTCAGTTTACACACACACACATACATACGTAGACATACATACATACATACATACATACAGTACAGTACATACATACATACATACACACATACACACATACACACATACACACATACACACATACACACATACACACATACACGCACATACATACACGCACATACATACACGCACATACATACACACACACATACATACACACACACATACATACATACACACACATACATACATACATTACATTACATACATATACATATATATATATATATACATATATATATATTATATTAAAAATCAACAAAGGACAAAGGATGACTAAGGTCTTTACAACATGAAAACGATGCAGGTCCACTGTCCAAAAGCTTTGTTGTGATCCGTCTCAATGAACTTTGGAGGGGACGGAGACAATGTGGAAGTGGATGAAAAATCATGAGCCACTGATTGATTCAACGTGTTGATTCAACTTGTTCTTACAACATGATTTGCTGTATGAATTTGTTCTTGGCTGCGTGCCATTCTGAGGCTGATTCCCTTGAACCAGCAGCATTTGGAGAGGAATTCAGTTCCTTTCAAGTTTGACATGGCCTCCAAGGAATATAAAGGAATAATCAGTTTGATGCATTGATGCAGGACTTATTGACTCCAAAAGGATCCAAAAGGTTTTAAAAGTTTGATAGTCCGACCAGTTCGACTTCCAAACATGTTTCAGGAGTTGGCCAGAGTCGCTCTGGAGGGCTTTGAGGCACAGTATCATCATATGTTTACATATTTTCACTATGTGCACAGCCAGAGTTCTTCCTGAACATAGCCATTCTTTGAGTTCTTTGCACTGTCCAGCACCAAGCAGAAAGGAGTATGTCAACAAAACCCTTCCGATGGAGATGGAGGCCCGGGATCTGTGATTTTCATTGATTTTCCGTGTCCACACCATGGTGTTGGAACGGGTCAACATGATGTTTCAAGATAGACAGGTGTACAGAATGTTTGTGTAGCGCTTCCACTCATAGACACGCTCTAGATCTAGAATGTATTTGTATCTTGTAGATGCATACACAGATGAAGATGGATAGAAAGATATACTGATGCATACTTTACATTGCAGCATGCTACGTCTCGATTACAACACATCACATTGGACTGCATTACACTACATTGCAGCAGAGTTCATTCCAAAAACAATTTCTGCATTAAACTACAGTTCCACTGGACGACACTACAATACAATGCATTGCAATACAATGCATTTGATTGTGCTACATTACTCGTATACTACATTACACTACAGTACATGCAAATGCGTTTGCAATATACATTGCAATACATTACATAGATACATTACATGAAGACATGGCATGAAAACACTCGTACATTTATACATAAATACATTAGCATGTTAATGCTCAAATATATTAGTCATCACAGTACATTGTATATCTAAATGAATTAGGCTGTATTACATCACATTCCATCGATAGATGCCTGCAATAGATATTATATATATATATACATACAGATAGTTTCACAAATAAATGCATGAGGAAAATCATTGTGCTGCACATTCCAAGGCATTGCTGCGATTCAATTTATTACACATCGAAAGATACTCTTCAGACAGTGCACATCACATCACACCACAGCACAGCAAATCGTATGGCGTTACATACACCCGCACACACTTACACACATTGCATTGCATTGCATTCAATTGCACTGCATATTGCACGGCATTGCATTCAAGAGCATTGCATGGCAATGCATCCTTTTGCATATTACATGGCATTGCATTCCAGTGCATTGATTGCATGTTTATACGTACATTCTACTTTACTTTAATGTATGTACAGTATACATGTGTAAATAGTTTAACTTTACATAACACAACAGAACATGAACTAGAACCATAGAAGCAGGTAGGCAGGCAGGCAGGAAAGCAGACATACATACACACCATTCAGATATGCAAGCTATACATGTCTATACTCAAACATTTGAGTGTATACTTGTACCATAAATATGTCGGCAACTTTTGCTGGGGGACTGTGGTTTATTCAGACTGCGCTCAGTTTAAGAATTGAATTTTGCTTGCAGCAAGTTGCTGACAAAAGTTTTGATCCTTGAAACTCTCTTACCTTCTCAGGGTTCCAAGAGAATCATTTTGTGGCTCTAGAAAGTTCCAGTAAACTATTGAGGCTTTCTGGACTCAAACTGAATCGAAAGCACGGAATTTGCTGTGCTGACTTGTGATGAAATCTGCTGTTCTTGTTCAAAACATTTACTGTATATAGATGCGAATTGATGACTTGGTGGTATTCATTGTGTTTCTGTCAAGGGTTGCGCAAGAACTTTGGAAGGATATGTTTTTGGAACCATTCAGAGGACAGAATAGCTGACAGAGATGGTGGCTGTGGTGTGTGAAGCTACTTCGCGCCATTCCCACGTCAAACACGCATTCTTTGCATGGAACAAATCTGATCCAATACCGAAGCAATTCCGGATCCCGTGCATATTTCAGCTGGCATAGTCAAGAAAGTAACTATGTGGCATGTGTTTACTTTCGGCACCATTTTGAAAGAACAAGAAAACACCACGGAAAAGACTGCTTGCACTTCTGCTTTGGTTCTGGACAAGCCTTTCCAGCGTAAGCAGAAGCTTTCCACCAGACATCACGTGTGTGCTCCCACTGCAAAATTGAAAAGCTTTTCGGCAATTGAAACTACTGGCATGGTCCAAAAATGACAAGACACAGTTTCGCCACATTCCACCTGTCACCTGTCAAGAGGTGACAAAGACTGTAGCTGCGTATTTGCACCTTTGCTTCTTGGGAAACTATTATGAAATTATTGAAATTCCTTGCCACTGCACAAATTGGGTTCACATTAAAGGGCTCCGCCCCCTGCCGCCGACCCCTGGGCATATCTCCCATTGAGCAAAACAGCAGGGCCCTGAAGGACGGACCGAGCCTCCGGGCAACGGCTCCCACTGCCTAACGTTGCTTTCTGAACCTACAAGAAAACTAGCTCTCTTCCAGCCGTCAAGGCTCACAAACGGCGCCCTCGCCACAGCAAAACAGCAGGGCCCTGAAGGACGGACCGAGCCTCCGGGCAACGGCTCCCACTGCTTAACGTTACTAACGTTGCTTTCTGAAGCTACAAGAAAACTAGCTCTCTTCCAGCCGTCAAGGCTCACAAACGGCGCCCTCGCCACAGCAAAACAGCAGGGCCCTGAAGGACGGACCGAGCCTCCGGGCAACGGCTCCCACTGCCTAACGTTGCTTTCTGAACCTACAAGAAAACTAGCTCTCTTCCAGCCGTCAAGGCTCACAAACGGCGCCCTCGCCACAGCAAAACAGCAGGGCCCTGAAGGACGGACCGAGCCTCCGGGCAACGGCTCCCACTGCCTAACGTTGCTTTCTGAACCTACAAGAAAACTAGCTCTCTTCCAGCCGTCAAGGCTCACAAACGGCGCCCTCGCCACAGCAAAACAGCAGGGCCCTGAAGGACGGACCGAGCCTCCGGGCAACGGCTCCCAAACTAGCTCTCTTCCAGCCGTCAAGGCTCACAAACGGCGCCTCCGCCACGCCCAAACAGCAGGGCCCTGAAGGACGGACCGAGCCTCCGGGCAACGGCTCCCACTGCCTAACGTTGCTTTCTGAACCTACAAGAAAACTAGCTCTCTTCCAGCCGTCAAGGCTCACAAACGGCGCCCTCGCCACAGCAAAACAGCAGGGCCCTGAAGGACGGACCGAGCCTCCGGGCAACGGCTCCCAAACTAGCTCTCTTCCAGCCGTCAAGGCTCACAAACGGCGCCTCCGCCACAGCAAAACAGCAGGGCCCTGAAGGACGGACCGAGCCTCCGGGCAACGGCTCCCACTGCCTAACGTTGCTTTCTGAACCTACAAGAAAACTAGCTCTCTTCCAGCCGTCAAGGCTCACAAACGGCGCCCTCGCCACAGCAAAACAGCAGGGCCCTGAAGGACGGACCGAGCCTCCGGGCAACGGCTCCCAAACTAGCTCTCTTCCAGCCGTCAAGGCTCACAAACGGCGCCTCCGCCACGCCCAAACAGCAGGGCCCTGAAGGACGGACCGAGCCTCCGGGCAACGGCTCCCAGTGCCTAACGTTGCTTTCTGAACCTACAAGAAAACTAGCTCTCTTCCAGCCGTCAAGGCTCACAAACGGCGCCCTCGCCACAGCAAAACAGCAGGGCCCTGAAGGACGGACCGAGCCTCCGGGCAACGGCTCCCAAACTAGCTCTCTTCCAGCCGTCAAGGCTCACAAACGGCGCCTCCGCCACGCCCAAACAGCAGGGCCCTGAAGGACGGACCGAGCCTCCGGGCAACGGCTCCCACTGCCTAACGTTGCTTTCTGAACCTACAAGAAAACTAGCTCTCTTCCAGCCGTCAAGGCTCACAAACGGCGCCCTCGCCACAGCAAAACAGCAGGGCCCTGAAGGACGGACCGAGCCTCCGGGCAACGGCTCCCAAACTAGCTCTCTTCCAGCCGTCAAGGCTCACAAACGGCGCCTCCGCCACGCCCAAACAGCAGGGCCCTGAAGGACGGACCGAGCCTCCGGGCAACGGCTCCCACTGCCTAACGTTGCTTTCTGAACCTACAAGAAAACTAGCTCTCTTCAGCAGCAGGGTCAAGGCTCAACAAACAAGGCGCGCCTCGCTGAAGGACGGACCGAGCCTCCGGGCAAAACACTGCCTAACGTTGCTTTCTGAACCTACAAGAAAACTAGCTCTCTTCCAGCCGTCAAGGCTCACAAACGGCGCCCTCGCCACAGCAAAACAGCAGGGCCCTGAAGGACGGACCGAGCCTCCGGGCAACGGCTCCCAAACTAGCTCTCTTCCAGCCGTCAAGGCTCACAAACGGCGCCTCCGCCACAGCAAAACAGCAGGGCCCTGAAGGACGGACCGAGCCTCCGGGCAACGCTCCCAGTGCCTAACGTTGCTTTCTGAACCTACAAGAAAACTAGCTCTCTTCCAGCCGTCAAGGCTCACAAACGGCGCCCTCGCCACAGCAAAACAGCAGGGCCCTGAAGGACGGACCGAGCCTCCGGGCAACGGCTCCCAAACTAGCTCTCTTCCAGCCGTCAAGGCTCACAACGGCGCCTCCGCCACAGCAAAACAGCAGGGCCCTGAAGGACGGACCGAGCCTCCGGGCAACGGCTCCCACTGCCTAACGTTGCTTTCTCAACCTACAAGAAAACTAGCTCTCTGAGCTGTCTTCCAGCCGCCTGCCTAACGTTGCTTTCTGAATCGACAAGAAAACTAGCTCTCTGACCTGTCTTCCAGCCGCTTGTTGCTTCCTGGCTTCTTGTTTCTTGCTTCTCTGACCTGTCTTCCAGCCGCCTGCCTAACGTTGCTTTCTGAATCGACAAGAAAACTAGCTCTCTGACCTGTCTTCCAGCCGCTTGTTGCTTCCTGGCTTCTTGTTTCTTGCTTCTCTGACCTGTCTTCCAGCCGCTTGTTGCTTCCTGGCTTGTTGTTTCTTGCTTCTCTGACCTGTCTTCCAGCCGCTTGTTGCTTCCTGGCTTCTTGTTTCTTGCTTCTTGCCGCTTGTTGCCTGTAATTGCTTCTTGCTTCTTGCTTCTTCTTTCATGTTTTCTTGCTTCTTGCCCTTGCTGTTTGTAATGACTTCTCTGACCTGTCTTCCAGCCGCTTGTTGCTTCCTGGCTTCTTGTTTCTTGCTTCTTGCCGCTTGTTGCCTGTAATTGCTTCTTGCTTCTTGCTTCTTCTTTCATGTTTTCTTGCTTCTTGCCCTTGCTGCTTGTAATGACTTCTTGGCCCTTGCTGCTGGTAATTCCTCCTCTGACGCGCTCCCCCTGCTGTCGGCAGGGGTCGGCGGATTTCTGTTTGGCTGGTGGCCAGTTTGACAAGCAATTCGCCGATGAGTTTCATGCAGCAGACCACTCTAGAGTGAATCTGGCTTTTCGTCGTCCCTTTCTCAGGGCAGACGGCCAATTGTGTTTTTGATTTTCATGTTCCAGTTGTGTGGGCATTGAGAAGACTGTACTTCCAGGCATAGAGCTCTCATTTGCAGTTGATTTTATTTTGACTCTTGAGGGTGGCAAAAAAGAGCCCGATGCCAAGTTGAATGTGCAGAAAAAGCCTGTCTCTGTTTGGCCGAGCCCTGCAAGTTTAATCAAGTGAGGGTGTCAGTAAGGTCTTTGCAGAGCAGAATCGAGATATTTATCCGGCTGCATCCTCAGATGCTCTAGATCCGAGCCATGACTTGCTCTAGGTGCACTGAGTGCACTGTAGGTAGACTAGACAAGATAAAGCAAGATCAAACAAGATCAAGCAAGAGGCGCAGACTGAAGAAGATTGCAAAGTCAATTTTTTTGTGAGGCCAATGGCGCCCTGGATATCCTCGAAAGTGGTCCCAACCCAGACTTCATTGCCGGGATCACCAAAGGTGCTGCACCTTTGAAGGACACTTGCATCTAGACATATCTAGACATATCTAGACATATCTAGACATATCTAGACACCATGCAACACGCATCGTTCAAGACTATGCAAACTTCATCAAACTTCTGGTGCCACAGTTTCACTCTGACGAGAGGATCGCACGAACATAATTTTGAGGAGATTAACTATACGTGGCCAGGGCTCTATGAGAACTCTTCGTTTGAGACTCGGAGATCAGTTTGACATTCCCAGCCAAGCGATTCAGAAGTTGTCAATATCCATACCTCAGGTTCCGAAAGCTACGTCAACACATCAACACCTTGGCAAAGCTTTACTTGAAGAGGACAGTCAAAAGTAAAGCATCAATTCACTCACTGGCACCCACTGGCGCTTTTCAGAGGCAAAGATGGCAAAGCTGCCTGGACAGGAGTGGTCATCCTACCAGCGAATTGCCAAAGACGTGCCTCATTTGCAAAGCGGATCTTTGTAGACTTATGCAACTTATGCATTCCAACTGGTTGCATGATGTTGCATGATGTTGCATGAGTAGCTTCAGCGCGTTTGGCCAAAGAAAACAGAATTGTGCTCAGGTTCCGAGTATTCATTTGGGTTGAAGTATTTCGCAAGGCCTGATGTTCACCTGCAGTTTTTCTGATTTGCGGACACGTATCATAACTTCCAATTGTTTCTTTAAGAATGTTGGAGTGTGGTAAACTAGTGGTGTCACAGTAGTCCTTGGCCTTCATGGACATGGATAGTGTGGGAGTGAGCGTTTGCATGAGAGGTAGAGGGTTCCACGGTCTTAAAGATGTTGTTCATTGTTTCAACGCAGAGCACAGACGTTTCCATGTCACACCGAAGCCAGGTCACACTCTACTCTTGGCAATGTGTGTGTGTACCATCTGCATAGATGTAAAACTTCTATATTGCAGGGGGATGAGGGTCCCTTGGTGTGCCTCATCTAACAAAGACCGCACCAAGTGGATGTGATATCGGTGCCTGGCCAGCGCTGACGTACCTGCTACTTTAATATAATATAGTCCCGCCCCTGGGTGCATATAAGTCGCAGCTGGGGGGGACATATAGTTTATCGCTGTTGTTTTATAGGATCAACGTCTACTGTGATTATACATCTATATATATATTATATTTATATTTATATTTATTACTTTTCATTCTTTGTGTCAGGTTTAACTGGAGTGTTTGTGTACGTGAGATGCATTCCACATCAATAATCCGATAAGACATTTCTGAGCAAGTGTCTGATTCATGCTGGATTCGTCAAGGTGGCATGAACCCCTCGGGGAAAGCCTCTCCAGGCAAAAAATTGACACGTTGAAACGATCTCTGAATTGACACTTTTGAGTTGGTAATTCATCTAAGTAAAGCGAACCGCTGGCCATTTTTCGATTCTCACCCTGTCGAATGTCGTTTGGTTGAACAACGTGCCGCTGTGCCTGGCTTCACCTTTTCTTTTGTCTGAATTTACACTTTTGAATTAGTAATTCGCTTAAGTAAAGTGAACAGCTGGCCATTTTTCGGTTTTCACCCTGTCGAATGTCGTTTGGTTGAACAACGTGCCGCTGTGCCTGGCTTCACCTTTTCTTTCATGAAAAATCAGGCAACAGGACATGCTTTCCAGGTGTGGTCACTTCTTTTTTGGTTGATTTGGTGAGGTTCAATTGTGCACGTAATTCAGGGGTTGACGACGTAAGCCGTTTACAGGGTTGTGAAATGAAAGCCGAGGGCCCTTGAGCCTTATCACGAATCTTGCATGACATGTGGATGCATCTTCATCAACTTGTCCCCTATGGGTCCCTTTTCTCATGTGTTCTTGCGTTCTCCCCTCTTCAGGTAGGTTTGGTCCTTCGCCTGCCGAGGTAGGCGTAGGTTTTCGCCGTGTTAGGTTGGTTCAGGCGCTTCCGTCCTTCCCCCCCCTCCGCCGGTCTTGTTCCGTTGTCCGTCGGCCTCCGCTTTTCTTTTCCCTTGCTTTTTCAGGGTTTGCCCGTTCCGGGCCAGGTGTGTCGTGTTGGTGTTCTCTCTGCCCCTCTTCTTTTGCGTTCCCCTCTTCGCGTCCTGGCTAGGTAATGTTCATTTCATTTTCATTGTCATCTCACTTTCATTTTCATTTCATCTGCCCCGCCGCGGTGGGGCGTGTGTGTGTGTGTGTACCATCTGCATAGATGTAAAACTTCTATATTGCAGGGGGATGAGGGTCCCTTGGTGTGCCTCATCTAACAAAGACCGCACCAAGTGGATGTGATATCGGTGCCTGGCCAGCGCTGACGTACCTGCTACTTTAATATAATATAGTCCCGCCCCTGGGCGCATATAAGTCGCAGCTGGGGGGGGACATATAGTTTATCGCTGTTGTTTTATAGGATCAACGTCTACTGTGATTACACATCTATATATATATATATTTTTTATATTTATATTTATATTTATTACTTTTCATTGTTTGTGTCAGGTTTAACTGGAGTGTTTTTGCACGTGAGATGCATTCCACATCAATAATCCGATAAGACATTTCTGAGCAAGTGTGTGACTTGTTCATTGTATCACGAGCTTGCTCCTTGCGCTTTGCCCTTGAAAGGGAGACTCCCTTCGACCCTTAGCTCACACAGATGGAGGATTCCTGATGGGAAGGTGCTTTGTGGATCCATGTGGAATGCTTTAGCGTGAGCCTTTTCCTTAGGTTTTTTGTTTTATGTTTTTCAATGTCTCTCAACCTTGTAAGTGCTCCCTCTCTTGGGCAAAACACGGACAAACTTCCCAAATTCCCTCTTCGACGTCAAACAGCAACTGAAATGCTTTGTGTGTATTGGTGTGAGCAGATTGTCGGACATTCGATGATGTTACAGAAGGCACGACTGCAGGTTAGAACCCATAGATGTGTCACTGTACACAGAAACCAGAAACGGAAATCCAGGTAGACCGACGGTATGCATGCTGCACGTTTGGGCTGACAGGTATTGGCCTCAACTGAAGAAGAACGCCTTGAAATTTAATTTTGAGGACTAAGCAGAATTTGTCATGAGCAGTTGCTGCCAAAGAGGAGTCACCAGGGTCACAATACTTCTGTGAGGATCCCCGGGGTATCAATCCGCCTTTCGGCAAGACTCACACACACAACGTGGAAGAGGTGTGGCAATGTAGCAATGTGTGGCTTGTTTGGCAGCACTGTCAGTCATTCTGTTCCTGGCTTGTGCACAACCTTTTGGAAGGGCAGCTTGACTATGTTCCCAAGCTGGGCATCGCATTTCATCACTCCGAATATGAAGTCGAGAACAGCCGTTCATTGCTCAGCATTCTGGTTTTTATTCATAATACTCGTACAATGACACAAAAGCTCAGCCATCGCTCTACCATGTGACTTGAGATTTAGATGTCGGTATAGAAGCGGGGGAATAGATTTTGGCAGTATCAAACACATACTACAGAAATCTTTACACAGATGACGATCTTCCAGATCTCGCTATCCAAAGTCTTGTTGTTGGCAAATTGCTGGCATAAAACATCTCTCGTGTGAAAAAGTGGCTTATGTGTGGAACGCATAAAGCGAGTACGCGCCAATAGTTACATTGCTGTGTTTTCTTTACATTACGTTCCATGGTATTTCGCATTCAATACATCATGGTACATAAGAAATCACAATATAAAGATAAATAAGATACACATGGAAAAACGATATGTTAAGACCAAATAGGACAAGCGGGCATCTTACACTACACTAACTTCCATTGCCCTACATTGCACACAAAGGTGTTCGCATAGACTCTTTGCTGTGTTCCTTTACAGTACATTGCCGCATCACATTGCTTTCTGTTTGGTTCCGTCCCATATCAACGTGCTCAGCTCCGTTCTCTAATCCCACCATTTGACCTTGCCGAATCTGAGGGATAAAGAATGATAAAGATCCCAAGATATTGCAGTTGCGATGCAGTTGCAAACCAACACTCACAGTTTCACCATGTTTCACCGTAAAAAGTGGTATCCGTGAGAAGTTTGAAAGATGCTCCCTCTCCCTGCCTTGCAACCTTCGAAATGTATCGAAATGTCCTGTTCCGATCACTTGCACATGATCGTATATCATCTATAAGTAACCATTAATAACCTGTTCTCAGATTGACCGAGGTTTCTTATGTCTTCATTGTCTATCCTGAAGGTGGCAATGTTCTGGACTTCGAGGCCATTCTGCAGATATCTTTGGAGAAATCAAATGGTGAATTCTTGTTGGAAGTGCTTGAAGTGACAAGATTTGCCTCAGGATGATCGAACCGGAAATATTCAAGTATCTGAAACCCTAAAGTTAAAAAAAATATGTCAAATGATTTAAAATGGTGTTCAGCCTCTAGAACGCCCCCTGTCTGTCAGATTTGACGTATGGTAGGAACTATCCCGAGAACTATGGAAAAAAATATGGAAAGAACTATGGAAAAAACTATGGAAAATACACCTTCATTGAACTTATTATAAGCTAATTTTATTTATAATGCATGATGTAATTTGATAGAACCAGGAACTATGGAAAGGAACTATTGTTTTTTAATGGAAATAAACATGTAGAAAATAGAAACATGTTAGTATATACATGCAGCATGAACTTACAACATAAATAAAATTATATGTAATATAAATATTCAACGAAAAGATAACTTTTAAAAAATACAATGAATATACATCTTAGGCTACTACTAGTAATCAAACATGGCAATATCCCCCGGTGATTGTGACCTGATAGAATGGTCAAACCCAGTTCCCAAATAAAATGACTGATTTTAGCCAGCCTAGGGGGTTTTGAGCATGTTCTACTATATTTTGTTTATTTTAGAGCTGACGCTTATCGTCGGCTCCGCCGGATTACTTGACCTCGATGTCATCGTAGGGTGGGCTTGAAAGCTATTGAATGAGGACTTGCTGCTTCACAAATATATTCCGTGTGCTTTTTTGAACATATTTAAGGAATCATGGAATTGCGTGTTTTTTCTTGGAGCAAGTGCGGAAGGCTTGTTCCCGAAAGCTCTTGCGAAGGGTTACTTCTTTGTGTAAAGTTTCTGTCTGTAAACGCGTCTGTGTGTTAAAGCTCTGGGTGTAAAGACTTCTTTGTGTAACAGCGTGTGTGTGCGTGTAACAGCTTCTGTGTGTAAACGCCTTTGTGTCTAAAAGCTCCTCTGTGTAAAGGCTTCTCTGTGTAAACGCTTCTGTGTACAAACGCATCTGTGTGTAAAAGCTCTTTATGAGATTATTTCCCCGTATAAAAGCTCCTCTGTGTAAATGCGTTTGTGCGCAAAATTTCCTTAGTATAAAGATTTCTCTGTATAAAATTTTTTATATGTAATGTTTTTATATTTAAAAATCGGTTTATATAAAATTATAATAAATTATATTATGTTTTTTTTCTATAAAAGATTTTGTATATATATAAATTGTGTATAAGTAAATGTATTTAACTAAGAATTATATATATTATTAGTATTTATTATTATATTTGCTTATATATTTAATTTTGTTTATAATATTAATAATTTTTAAAACAAATATTAAAAATATAAATAATATTTTAAGTGCTTTATATAGTATTTGTAATTGATACAAAGCGACTCTTACCTTTTATTGCTGCTTTTTAGCATTGGGTGGATTTTGTTATACAGTCTGGTTCTGTGCTGGCTGCATGGCTGTTGCTTGTGCTCTCCGGGTGGAGGGGTGGACCTACAAAAGCTGTACCTTAGGGCCAAATCTTATAGGTATACTGTATAAAACGTTACGTGCCCAAAAGTAACACTTTGTAAAAGTTCTAACTTAAGTACTCTATCCGCTTCCTGTAACTGATGTAAAGCGATTCTCACCTTTTATTCCTGCTTCTCAGCACTGATTGGATACTGCTATACAGCCTGGTTTTGTGCTGGCTGCATGGTTGTTGCCTGTATCCCCCCTTTCTTTCCATTTTTGTATTGTTGCGTATACTATATATATTGGTCTACTTTTGCCATCTGCTTGGCCACTCCTTTATATACATTACCTGAATTATATAGATAATGATGGATTGCGCTTGAAGTCCACCGTTCGCTCCTCTTGACCAGCTCCACCTCCCCCGTAGCCTGATACAGGGCGGATGTACCGCCGATGCGAAGGGAATGGGTTTGAAACCGTTCCGCAGCTAGCCTAACTTCTTTGGCTGCCCGTTGATGTAGGTTCTGAAATTCTAATTTCCTCAAAATTTGTCCAGAAATTTATCTGAATAATGATAAATGGCACTCTGGTCCGTTGCCAAACCGGCGCGGGGCGGCCTCCCTCAGCTCCTCCAGGGCGGTCACCACGCATACTTTCTTCACTCCTGTTTTTAACAGCGTCTTGCACGTACCAAACACCTCCTGATCTGCCTTGATTTTCCTGAATTATTTCGTAGCCTCCTTTGCCTTCTCTGCCACGACCTTTCGTTTCACCGACAGCTGTCGCAGAACTCCCTTGCCCTCAGCATAAAAAACCACGCCGTAAGGAGCGCTGCGACAATTATCCTGTAATTTATCTTGAGCTCTCCTCGATCCTGAAACCCTTCCTTCAACATGGACACTGTTACGCCCAGCCTCCTCGGGCGTTTCTCTGAGCTCCTTTCCAGCGAATTGATAACGATCCACAGGCGATGTATCTTGCCCGTGACATCCCCATACCCCGTCCTTTTGCGCGCGTCCTTGATGGCGAACACCGCCTGCTTCAAGATTACCACCGACGTCCCAAACCAACCCAAGTACCCGAGGTAACCCAGCAGCTTGTTCTCGTTTTCCACCGGGTCCGCCTTGTAGCTCAGGTATGGTGTCAGCCACTTCTGTCTCCTACTCCAGTTACCCCACTTCTCCCAGGCCGAGTAATAAGCCTTCTTTGTACTCTGAGCCTTGTCTCCATCCATGTGTTCCTCAAGCCATTCCTCCAGTTGTGTTTGTACGTTCAGATCTCCTGATAGGCCTCGGCGCAGCTCAACGACTCTTCTTACCTCAGCCTCCGTCGCCCTCGGTGATTTGCTGCGTCCTCCTGCCTTCATTCCGAGTCCGAACTCGCAAGCCTCCTCATCCAGCGCTCCAAGCCATAGGTCTTCTCCCCACAGCCATGCCTTCCTGCGCTCCTCAACTCCTCCTGCTTTCCGATCCGCTTCTGCTCTGGAAAAGTCTCCTTTTCTCCATTTCCTCAACCAAGACAGCAGCAGCCCTAAAGACTTCACATCCTCGGCGTCATAGCACATGCCAGCCTTCTGCCTGCTCTCCACAAAGCTCGGTTGCGACACCCAGAAGTCCCAAAGCCGTTTTCCTGCCTGTCCCAAGACATCCTTCCTTTGAAGCCTCAGCCTCTCCAATCTGATCCACCAGCTGCCTCCCGCTCTGTCCTCTTTCTTGTGCTCTCCAAATCTCCTTAGGCTGCAACTTCCTCACGAAACCAGACTGTGCGGACTTGTCCACAACGTAGAGCTCTTCCAAACCCTTCCCATCTGCCGACAAAAGCCACCTGCACGGTCCGTTCAGCCTGTAGACCATACGCCGCTTCTCATCCTCGAACCACACGTGGCCTCCGACTCGTGGAAGCATATGATGCTCACCCTGACCATACGCATCCTCCCATTTCGTCCATCTGCACCACGCCTCTTCCTCCGCTTTGGCCAAAATGGTACCCAGCGAAGGTGGGCTCACCTCCTTCACCAACCACTGCTCGATCTCCTCCTCGGTGACCTCGACTCTGCTGACAAAGGCTACCTTTCTCCTGCGTAGCAGTACCTCACCCAGCTCCGCCGTCAAGAACTCCAACAACTATACCTTCCATCCACTGTTCACCGCGATCTGCCGAAACAGCTCCCAGTTCACCTCTCTTGGCCCTTCCAAAATAGCGACGTCGAACTCCTCCTCAAGCAAGTAGTTCCAAAACCGTTGTACGACTCGCCCATGAGGATCTGGCCCAACGGTCGCCGCAATCACCTTGCTACCTTGTTGTTGGTTCTCCACGTTGAAGTACTCGAAGTCCTTGACCATCCTCGGCTTCGATGTCCATTCCACGATCTCGATCTCCTCAAAGCCCTTTGGTTGCCGGTGAAGTGCCCTGAAGACTCGTAGCTCTCTCAGCTTCATCTGCTCCAATCGATCCTCGTCCTCGTGCCACGACAAGAAACATGGACCGAATCGCTCCGAATCTTCCAATGCCTGACGTATAGCCTCCTTCAAGCTCACGTAGCTCCAGCCCTTGTTGCGGATCTTCGTCATTGCTTCTTCCCTGGTCAATCGAGTGAGCTCGTCCGCGTCCTCATTGTGGAAAGTCGCCACCATCCTCCGATGATCAAACACCGATACCGCATCTCCACCAGGTTGAGCACTCGGATCAGCAATCTTCCCGCTCTGACATTGCTCCTCCTTGTTGTGATCCAGTGGTAGACCGTCTTGTTGTCGCCACCATACACCACCACCTTGCCAACCCATAGATACCCAACGCTGCAAGCAAACGCCACAAAGGACAGCATTTCTCCAAATGGATCGCCAACGGCCCTTCCTCCTCCGCGGCTTCTGCGGTCAAAACCCTTGAAATCCATGGTTTGAGCTCCTCCACGTCCTCCCGGCTTGCCATACCGTTGGTCCAGTCAATGGATCCCAAAGTCGAGGGCGTAGCATCTGAAGATACGAAGACCGCCTTGGAGAAGTGTTGGTCCGGCAACGCAAGCCTTTCCAGGGGCCCAAGTGCTTCCCGGATGTCTCCGCCAAACTTCTCTGCCCACGTCTCTGATCGGGAGCACAGCCATCTGCAATCCTCGAAAATGTCCCAGAGATCCGCCCATGCCATCTCCTCTTCAGCCTCTGTGGAGCATCTGGAAGGGCTGATTCTCGCTCCTCCGTCAACTCCTCCCAAAAACCTGTCGGCAGCTTTGAGCTCGTTTCTCAGACCCTTCACGACCGTGGCCCAACCTGTAGCTATCCCTCTGAACCTCTGCACATCCTTCAACGTCAAGCTCCTCTCGCCATAGTTGAACTGCGGTTCTGCCAACAAATACGCACCTTTCAGCACCCGCGTCTCCGGCAAGGACATTTTCTCTGTGCTAGCGTTGATCTGAACTCCCCACACCGTCTGCACCTCCGAGAACTGTCCCTCCTCTGCATCCTTGGCCGCATTGATGGCATGACTGCCCAAAAGTTGTCTGACTGCCCATTCGTACGTTTCACTTGACACCCAAGGCCGTAGTCCAACACAGGGCTCCACCAGCACCATGTCATCTACTAAAATCTTCCCGTCAAAGTGCAGTGACCCATCTCTCCGGCCCTCCTGTGGGCAGAAGCATCTGTGTAGCTCCTCAGTGCCTCGTCCCCAAGCTGTCCATTCTCCCGGGGAGCCAGAAAACCCAAAACTGCTCACCAGGAACAAGAAGGTCACTCCGGTGGGGTCCTTGTCATGCACCTTCCCAAGGCCTGTGCCCATCTGATCGGGTCTCCAAGGAACATCCCCCGCAAACAACTCGACATCTTGCGGGTCTATCCACAACAGCCGAAACGCTCCTGCCACGTCCTTCTTCGCCAGAACCACCGGCACCTTTGGGAACATCGCCTTCCAAAACAGGATTCTTCTGATCACCTGCACGTGCAACTGCTGTGTGGCGGGTGGATGTAGTTCCTTCGCCGTCCCCCCATTGATGTTCCTCTGATCATGTACCAGTCGGACCTCCGTAGAAAGCGTCCTGTTGGGCAGCATCTTGGGCACAGTCTCAAACGGGGAGGAAGCTGTGTGTCGCAGGCCGGGATGGTTGGAACTCACTACCAAAACTCGGTGTTTGGCTACATCCTTCATCAGCTGCTTGTACACCTGGTTCAAATTGTCCCTGGCTCTGGGGTGAGGTTGTGTAGCCACCCTTTGTCGCACTCTTTCATACCTCGCTGGCATGCCGGCTTCTCGTACTTCCCTCAGGTACGCCAAGTGATCAGGGTGAAGCAAAGAATCTAGCATCTGATCATCGACCCCTTTCAGGTTGTTGCGATCCAATTTCTCCCTCACGATCCAAAGCGCCTTTGCTGCTTGCTCCACATTACCCGCTTCTTCCAATAGAGCATCACCAGCCTCACAGATACGCCGCCAAGTCGATGCCTCCTGGTCCTCGATCTCATCAATGACCTTGACATACTGGAAAGCTGCCTGCTCCGCCAGGACGTTGATACCCTCAGCCTTAAAGGAAGTCCATCTTGAGCCCCCTGCTCTGCCGCTTGCTGCGCTCGTAGGCCTCGACTCCTCTCGTCCTCGCGGACTCCTGGACCTTGTTCCACCTTCTTTCTCAGCGTCCTCATCTCCTGGTCTGTCTTGCCCTTCTTCATCCTCTTCTGGATCGCGTCGCTCTCCTCCAGGTTCGGTCGCCTCCCACGGAAAATTTGTTGACCTTTCATACCCTTGGACCTGTCCACCATCTGAACGGGCCTTCACAATCTTGGAAAAATTCCCAGTTGTCCTCCGTCTCTACCGTCTCCAAAGGATTCTCGGTGTCCGCATTCTGACACTTCGTCCATCGGTTGGGTTTGAAGTACTCCTGGGAAAAGGGGCAGCCCGGGCCGCCTGGGACCACGTACCGCCGTCTTCTCGCTCTGTGTCTGATCCACAACAAACCTGTCTCCTCACTGTAGAACGTCTCGTCTCCTCCAGCTCGGTTGACAGCAATGTCTCTTCCTCTTCCTTCTGTAGGGCTCTCCTCCTCGCCTTCTTCCTCAAAATTTGAGGGCCCCTCCTCTGGGCTACTTTCTGCCTCTGGGTTGCCACTTGGAGGGGAATCTGCCACACTGGTAGGGGGTCGTCTCCTCATCTGGTATGAACTCCTCACTCTCCTCTTCTCCTTCTCTCTGCTCCTCAAAATCTGTTCCTTCCGAACCATCATCGTCTCCTGGATCCTCTCCACCTTCACCTTCTGAACTTCCACTTGAGCTCCCTTGATCGCCTTGATCACCTTCCTGAGGTGGCCTCATACCTGCTGGGAACCCTTTCATACTGCCAACCAGGCCTCCAGCCTGTCTCTGTGGCGTTTCAAGCCTCCCCCCCCTTCACCAACGTCTGCAGGGCCTCCACAATCGCTGCCACGAAGTGCGTCGAATAAACCCCAGCCTCAGCACATCTGGTGACTGTGGTGTTGGCTCGGCATCCTTGTAAGGGGATATGTTGGTGTGTCGCGGAGACACCCGGGCAAAGCCTGAACAGCGCCTGCCGAAACCCTGGGTGGCGTGGGAAGGCGAGACCTGTGCGGTGCTTGTAGAAGTGGTGTGGCTCCCCGGCATCCAAAGGTGCGAGACCATAGGCACACATATCCACCTCCAGAGGAAGTCCACGTCAGGCCGTTGGAGAATCCGCTGACAGGGTAGATTCCACATCTTGGGATACCGGCCTGACCTGCCAGAGCTTTCAGCGATGGGGAAATGCCCTTTTTCCAGAGCCTTCTCGAAGATCTTGGCCTCAAACTCCGCCAAACAATTGCCCATGGCCTCCTTATCATTGGGAAGCCCCGTTGGGTTCGAAAACATACGCGTCCCATTGTTCTGCAGGTTCCAGTCACAAAATGTGGTACATGGACATGCTAACCACTCCACATTGACCTTGTCCTCCTCGACCTCCCTCAAACACCGTTCCTGTACCATTGGTTGTGATAGATCATGATCTGGACGTAGACCTCGACGATGA